GAACCTTCAGGCCTTCATTCTGAAATGGCATTTCCTTTCTGTACAAGATGACTCATTGCTCTGGGCCCTGAGGCTATGACCTTCGTGCATTGCTAAGCAGCTGACTTAGTCTGTTATAAACATGTGTACAGGCTCTGGGTGGACTCAGGGACAAGACAACTGCCTTGTGCGCTATGTGATGGACACAGGTTTGCCAGTTTGACTGGATGTAGAGTCGCCATGCATATGTCTGCCAGGGTGATTCCAGAAAGAATCCATTTAACTGAATGGGGAAGACCCACTCTGAATGTGGAAAAAATGATTGTGGTGATATATTGTTTATGATTTATTAAAGCTTCACACTGAAGATCAGAGACGCAAAGCAGCCAAGTCAGCAGATCTTACCTCTACCCAGCTGAAATGGTAATCCTGTCGCCACAAATCCTCAGAGACAAAAGATTCCCAGATCCTGTCTCCTCCTCCTTTTATTCCTTCCTCTGCCCAGCCACATCTTCCTGTCTCCACCTTCCTGATCCTGGGATTAAAGTCATGTAACCCCAGGTGCTGAGATCACCTTTGAGTATCTAGTTCTTTTAGGACTGAATCAATTTCGTGTAGGCAGCGTGTCCTTGAACTCACAGAGATCTAGCTACTTATTTATCCTGAGTCCTGGGATTGAAGGCGTGTGCCACCACTTCCTAGCTCTATGGCTGCTGGAATTAAAGGTGTGTACCACCTGATCTCTGTAGCTTGTGACTGACTTTGCTCTCTGAATCCTCAGGCAAGCTTTAATAAGTCATAAATAATATACCACCACACATTATCCCACAAGCTGGGGTCCTGGACTGAGCAGAAACAAGAAAGACAGCTGATGAGCTGCATCCATCTCACGCGTCTGTCTCCTAACTGGAAAACAACGTGACCAGCTGCCTCACACCCCTGCCACCGTGAGGGGCTGTACCCTGAGCTGTGACTCAAAATCAGCTCTTCCAGCCTTAGGCTGCTATCCTCAGTTATACGACACAGCAAGGAGAGGAGAAATATGGAAGAGTGTTTAGTTTTAGCCTCTTCCAAACTGTAACATTCTGCATTTCTACCAGCAGCGGGCCACGTCTCACCAACGTGTGGTGCTCCTGGGGTTCCGGATGTCGGGCACCTGAATAGGCACACTGTGGTATCCTGTTGCTTTAATTGATGTTTGCCCAGTCTCTGGTACAAAGCCTATTGACTTTATGGATCTCTGCTTTGGTGAGGTGTCTCTTGTGGCCCTGACTCAGTGTTAAATTTGGCTGTTTTCCTCTTGTTGAGTTTTGGTTGTGAGCCTAGCCTTTAACGGCTGAGCTATCCCTCCAGCCCCCTCTTGTTGAGTTTTAAGGGTGTAAGTTTTTTGTGCAATGGGTCTCTATGACATCTATTGTGTGTGTGTCTCCCAGTTTGTTGCTTGTCTTCATTCTCTTCCCTGAATGACATAGTGCAAAAATGTATAATTTTGATTAAGTCTAGTTTATCAGTGATTTTTTTCCCCACGAATTGTTCCTCTGATGTTGTGCTAGCTCAGCTGGTAAAAGGCAATTCCTGAGCAATTCGGGTGGCCTGAATTCCATCCCCAGATCTCACCAGTTCCTGAAGGTTGTTCCCCGGCTTCCACATACACAACATAGCACCTTTGTGCCTACATCACATGCGCGCGCACACACACACATACACACACACACACACACAATTTTTAAAAAGTCATTACCATGTCCGAGGTCATCTAGGTTTTCTCTTTTGTTCTCTTCCTTGAGTCACTTTTGTCGGGTATTTTGTGACTGACATACATCAAGTAGCTACTATGCCCTGTTTCCAAAACCAGCAAGGGACATACTGTTGTCACCCCCTCCTTATCACTTCAGGTCTGAAGGGAAGTGTGGTCAGAAACAAGGGAAGAGGCTGAGGCCACCTGGGCTGACAGTGTATCTGAGTTAACCAACAACCAAATGTCCCTTATCAGCCTTTTTGCTGATAAATCCAAGCTATGTCATGGTCACTGAATACCCCAGGCAAGATCTGAGGCAACATACTCAGGTCTCTACACCTGTCCCAATTATGTCCATCTGGAACAGGGCTAGATAAGTGACGGCTCCATAACAAACACTACTGCCTCCCCTGTTTCTGCCAAAGAGCATTTTAACTATAGAAGCTACACAATCCTGTTTCAGAAAATTTGGGAAACATGATAAAAAGAAAAAGAATGTAAAAGTCCCCAAGATCTCTTTGCTGTAGTGTAAATGGTCACATGTGATGTGCCTCTTTTCTGTCTTGTGTGTGCAAGCTGTTCTAAATGCTGCAGGTAGAACCCAGAGCCTTGTGTTTTGCTACCACTGAACAAACATTAAACAGCCCTACATGTGCAGTTTAGTGTTATTATTTTCATTATGACTAGGACTTGGGATGTGTACCAGAGGTAGAATATTCTCCTGGCTTACAAGCAAGGCTCTGGATGCAATATTCCTAGCACCACACACAAAAATGAAAGAACTTGAATTGCTGTTGAGCAAGCTAGTCAACATGTTTTGTTTAGTTTTTATAATATAAATGCAATATTTCAGTATTACATTTATTTATTTATTGGGGGAAGGTATTGGGGAAGGGAAATGTGTTTGTACCACAGCACAAATGTTAAGATCAGAGGACAACTTACAGGAGTTGCTTCTTTTCTTCCATCATGTGGGTTCTGTGGATAAAACTCAGGTTGCCAGGTTTGGCAGCAACTACTTTTACAAACTGGGCCATCTTGCCAAGCCTAAACATAGATTTGAGAGTTGATAGGTTACTCCATCTATTCAACCATCAATGTAGTATCACTTAAGGTTGGATATTTATACTGCTTCTACTTTTCAAATCATTAAGCAATGCCAGAAGCACACTCTGATGGCTAATGCTGATTTTCAACTAGGCAAGCTCCAGTATCACCAAGGAAGCTGATCTCTGGGCATATCTGTGAGGGGGGTTTTAGGTTAAGTTAATTGAAGTGGGCAGATCCATCCTGAATGTGGGTAGCACCATTCCATTCCATGGGCTGTGGTTCTAAGCTCAATACAAAGAGAGCAAACTGGGCCCCAGTAGTCCTCTCTCTCTCTCTCTCTCTCTCTCTCTCTCTCTCTCTCTCTCTCTCTCTCTCTCTCTCTCTCTCTCTCTCTCGTCTCTCTCTCTCTCTCTCCCTTTCTCTCTCTCCCTCCCCCCCTCTCTCTCTGCTTTCTGACTGTAGATGCAAGATGATCAGCTGTCTCAAGTTCCTGCCATCATGATGGATTGTACCCTCGAAATGTAGGCCAAAACGAATTCCTCCTCCTTAAGATGCTGATGTCACACATTTTCTCGAAGCAGCTAATACATACACTTTTGTATATTTAGCATTTCCTACATTTAGCATTGCATTACTAGAATACTCAAAAGTAGACCAAGAGGGGTGAATGAATTTATAGTTTTTAAACAAAATATAAATTATTTTCCAATGAATTCAACGAACCAATTTACAGCCTCCACAAGGTATGAATCCTCATTGCACCATGCCATCTTCAGCACTGGGAGCTAAATTAAAAATAATCCAGGAAAATAAAAAGTTTGTGTATCAAGCTTTTTTCTTTTTCTTTGGTGAGTTGCCTGTTTCATAGTCTACCATCTGAGCTAAATCTTAGTCCACATTCTTAACTCTTCAGTAAAGGACTTGGTAACTCATACAGAGGAGACAACTGGTCTTTCCAGTAGAAACAGCTGTAGTAACTTTGGTAAAATAGTCTATACTCTGCCTTTTCTATACAGAACAAACAGGCAGATACTCTGAAAAAAATGTTGGTGAACTATCCACCACATACTGTGGAAATGTTGGGGGATTATCCACCAGACACTGTGGAAATGTTGGAGAACCATCAACTGGATACCTTGGAAATGTTGGAGAACTATCCACCAGATACTGTGGAAATGTTAGAACCTATTTACCAAATAGTGTGAAAATTCTGGGGAAGTATCCACCACATATGGTGGAAATGTTGGTGAACTATCCACCAGGTACTGTGGAAATGTTGGAGAAATATCCACCAGGTGCTCTGTGAAAATGTGACTGACTCTCCAGTGTTCCAAGAAGATACTACTGTGGATTAACGAGTATTCTCAGCCTCGCAAGAGCAGTGCCTCTGCGAGACTGGCGCTGTAATAAGGGATAAACCAAGGAAACTAAAGGGCTGGAAGATTCTAGGCACCAGAGAACTGGAGCAATCCTCTGAGAGATGAGCTGCAAAGAACCATGCCTGGAAAGGATGTAGTGTAAAATTACCCTGCTGGGCATCCAGAATTTACAGACATTTAAATAGGAGAACAAGCCCACATGAGTAAAAGTCTGCTTGTCCTTAGAGTGTCTATACTGGGAGGGAAAGAAGACAATTTCCTCCCACACTGGTACAAGTACTTAAAATGTCCACTAACACCAATGTGTAGGGCCTGAAGAGATGGCTCAGTGGTTGAGAGCTTATGCCTTTAACTATTTAATAAATGGCTTAATAACTCATACAAAAGAGACAACTGGGTCTTTTCAGTTGTCACCTTGATGTTCCCTCTGAATTTGGTTCTTAGCACCCACATAGTGAGATTCACAATGGCCTGTATCTCCAGCTCCAGGATATCCAACAACCTCTTCTGGCTTCCTTGGACACCTGCCCACACATGGCATTCACTCATATAGACGCACACTCTTTCACAAGAATAAAAATGATAAAAATAAATCTTCATTTTTTCTCTTCCTTTGTTTTTTATTTAAATCAGAAACAAGTTTGTTTCACATGTCAGCCAATCCCAGCTCCCTCTCCCTCCCCTCCTCCCCATCCCTCCCCACCAGGCCCCTAGTCCCCCACCCAATCTCCACTCCGATCCCCCAGGGAGGGTGAGGTCAAAAATAAATCTTTAAAAAATACAAAAAGCAGGGCTGGAGAGATGGCTCAGGAGTTAAGAGTACTGGCTACTCTTCTAGAGATCCTGAGTTCAATTCCCAGCAATCGCATGGTGTCTCCATTTATAATGAGATCTGGTGCTCTCTTCTGGCCTGCAGGCAGAACACTGTATACATAATAAAGAAATTAAAAAGATACAAAAAGCAAAAAAAAAGCAAAAAACATATTCTGGAGCCCATCCACATCCCTAACACGTTGGGGGAGGGGCTCACAAGACCCCACACCTAACTGAGGAGCTGTTGTCCATTAATAACTTCTAGGGAAAAGGGATTCCCCCCCCCCCAGTGGTGTCATCACTAGTACTTTCGTCACGCCTCAGTAAATAATCCCACACTCAAGGTCATGCAAGTAGTCCTAAGTAAATTCAGTGGGTCATAAAAAGAAAATTCAAGCAAGAGAAATGGGGACTCAATGGGAACAGGGGTCCAGAGGTAGTTGGGAAGGAATAAGAGAGGAAAATGGGCCTGAATATGATCAAAATATACTATGTGACATATTAAATTATCAAAAGAATTAATTAAAATATTTAAAAGGGATGGGACATGATAATCCCAGCTCTTGGGAAGCTGAGACAGGAGTTCCCAGCCAGCCTAGACCCATAGCAAGACTCTGTCTCCAGCAAAATTCATATTATTGACTGTTAAGTGAGAAAGGGCATGAAGTCCATGGTGGTCTTTGTTATAGGGAGGTTGTTTGTTTATTTGTATATGTAGTGATGGGTTGCATTCATGAGAATGGTTTTAACAGAAGTATTTACTCTGCCAAGCAGAGAATGTAAAATATTACCATGCTCATGTAAGGATAATTGAGACTGGAAAGTCTGACACTTTCTTTTCCATATTTTTTTCATCTATTGAGGAAAAAAGATTTGATTTTGCCGTAAACAAGGTAAAATGTGTTCTTTCTAAGACTCGGGTTTGAATTCCCAGAACTACAAAAGAATGTTCTAAGTGATCAGAACCCTTGGGGGTGGATGAAAACCACAATTCTTAAGTGTGTCCAAGCACCTGAATATTTGACTGTGAACTTACGGTCCTACCCCTGAGTGCTGGGACAATAAGCAGACACAGCCAATGCCTGGTTCACGATTAATGCGAACACAGCAAAAGGAAAGGGCCACACACACACCTAGCAGGAAATGTCCCACCGTTTGTGCCAGCAGGATGGAGACAGCTGTTACCTGGGCCAGAGTTGGGCCTGCGGGGCACTTTCCAGTGAGGGAATTGCCCCTGGGGAAAGCTATCACTAACGTCTGAGCAGTGCCTCCAAGACCCTGTGAATAGCAAGCACCGGTGAAGTGACACAGGCGAGGGTGAAACAAAAGTCACCTCCCCCTTTATTATAAGGAGAAATGTATATGAGACAGGTGACAAAAGGAGAGGCAGGCCGTTTCAACAAGGGAAGCATGTAGTGCATCAGGTCTCCATGGAAGAGGAAAATCCAGATTTCCATATGGAATTCTCCCAATCTTTCTGACTAGGGAGAGGGTCAGTAAATGCTTCTGTGTCTACGGAGTTCGTTGCCCAAGATCCTAGGAGGGTTTACTATTTCCTGGTCTGGTTGGTTGCTTTCTGGAGCCCTGGGCGAGCTTCCAGGTCAGGTATGAGGAACGAGAGACAGGTGGCTCTGCGTGGGTGCCGCCTCGTGGGTGGGGGGAGCCCAGGAGCGCCAGTCGGTGGAGAGTGAGTGGGAGCCTTGAGCTTTGAAGTCCTTGAATTAAAGAAAAATCGCTGCGTGTGGTCAGGTGAACCAGATCTCACCGGCTGGGTGGGGATGGAGTTGGAGGCTAGAAGTGACCTTATGAAATGCAGGATTCTGCTAGGTCACCTCTGAGAGCCTAAGGGCAGCCGACCTCAGGTTCTCACCAGCCTGGGCAAGGACCCCGAGGAGGACCCTACACTGATTGCATTGCTAGGTGCGAGCCAGGCTAAATTCAGGACTCCTGAAGCCGCTCACTGGGGCCCTCTGGAGAGAGAGGGGGGCTTTGGGCAGGCGTTGGATCCCTTCGCCTCTCCTCGGAAGCTGTTGCCATGGCCACAGGGGACTTTTGATGTGAAGCACGATGACCCCCTCCTCTCCATCCTCCCCCCCCCCCGCTTGCCTTCAAGATGACGTCAGAGACGTCAGCCTCCCTGACAGGCCACCTGTAGGCTGGTCTCGCCTTTAAAGCAGCTGTGCCCCTGTCCCTCCGAAGTCCAGCCGGCGGCCACCATGTCCACGCTTGGGAGCATGCTGCGACTCCAGACCTACCTGTCTCCCCTTAGCGCGAGCACTGCGGCGGACAGGACAGACGGCCGGAGACTGGCAAGTACCCACCGAAGGCTCTCCGGGGTGGAGGGGGTTTCTTCCAGAAGGAATCAGAGAGCAGAGGCTACCCTCCACCCCCACGGCTGTCTCAATCCCAGCCAGCGCTCCCATCCAGTCCCTTCCCCTGGTCAAGACTCAGATTTGAGGAGCAGCCCAACCCCAAGCCCCAACCCCAGCTCCCGCGGCTGCCCCGGAGGGGAGGGGAGGATAGGGGAGGGGGCCGCTTGACCGCGGGTATGGTGTCTCCCTTCCTCCAGACCGGAGGGCTGAGAAACCGGCTCGGGAGCCCGCACTGAGCTCTCTGGCCACCTGGAGTAAAGAAAGGGGTGTGAGGGCGAAGCCCCGCGCTGCCGCCGCCGGGTCTTCCACGCCTTCCGCCCAAACTCCAGATGCAGCCGACCTGTTGCCTGCAGGAAAGCGTCCCGCAAGGTCGGAGCGCCAGGAGTCCACGCAGAAGTCAGCCGTGATCCTGCTGGGGAACATCTCGAGGGTCCAGCGCACACAGAAGGCAAACGTATACAGTGCCGGGAGAAGCAGAGGGTAACCAGCCCAACGCAACCAACCCCCCTTCCTACCCTTGCGCCATCAGCTGGTGGCCCCGCTAGCCCGGGGAAGTCAAGGGACTGTGGGGGCCGGGGGAGCAGCTACTGAAAAGGTGAAAACGGGGCACACACATCCAAGGCTCCTCTTTCTACTCTGTGGGTCCCTGTCTAGAGGTCAGGATCCCGTATTAAGGTCCCTGCAGCCCCTCCCTGAGGAATCCAGCTTCAGCACCATTCATTCAGCACCAGAAGCTGGACAGCACCTGGTCCTCCCAGAATCTGAGGTCGGTTCCCACGCTCTGATCACCCTGCGAGGCCCATTCCCCCACGCTTCCACAGAATCCGTTCAGACGAGGCCAGGAGGTGAGATGCGGTTTGTACAGGAAGGGAATGGGAGGGGGGCTCGGCTTTCTCATTTCTCCAGGGGTCCGAGTGTCTAGGGAATCCCTAAACCAGAGGGGAAACAGCGAAGTTCAGGAGACGCACCCACAGGGTCTGGTGGGGTCGCCCGGCACTAGTCTTCTATGAAGAATCGTCACGTTTGAGTCTGTCTTCTCCCTAAATCTTACAGGGAGTAAATGAAGGGGAAAAACCATGGAGTTGGAGAGAAAAGGTTCTGAGACTATGGTAGGAAGTATTACATTGTGTCTGGGTTCCAGCCTTTGGGTGTAGATGTTGTCTGCCCAAAGTGAACATTCAGGTACACATTTTTTTTAAATCTGAAGAAGCCCTAAGAGCTTTTGTAGAGGAGCACAGATGATTGTTTTGCCGGGGAGGAAAAAGCCAGGGAGGGGGAGAAGCTGTCACAAAAGGGCTAATGGAGGTGGGGGAGGAGGAGAGCAGAGCGGACAGGACGCCAGCTCTAGTGTGGTTACCAAGCAACCACCCGCAGCCCCTGCTTCCTGTTGCCTTGGTAACAGTGAATGGAGGGGCTTTGGCTACTGTTTATCTGTGAGCACCTTGATTCTCTAAATTAAATATCTCCTGGTAGCCCCTGCCTCAGCCTGGGCTGCGTGGGAGAAACCGCCATTCCCATGTACTGCTCCAATTACCAATTACCAATTACCAATGAGGATGCCCTAGGTGATTTTCCCCCAGTTAAGTCAAGGATGTAAGATCCCCAAAATCCTTCCCACCCGTACCCCAGTCTACTTCAGAGATGAAATCATAACCTGCCCAACCATTTTCTTGGGATTTGCAGTTTACAGCCCTCTCATTTAACCCTTTATACTAGAGGAGCTACCCCCATACACACACACCCTTTCCCCTTTAAATGACGCACAAGAGATACAAGACATTGTTTAAGTGTGTCTTCTGTAGATACAATTGGTTTGACAGCCCCCCTCCCATTCTTTACTCGGGAGATGGGTCTGGATTCTGGATTGCCTCACTGCTGAACTTCACAGTGAAGCGAGGTTAACAATTAGCCACTAGCACAGCAGCATTGGATGCTTCAAAAGTCTAACTTATTCTTTTCCTCCTCCGCATTGGTTTCGTCGCAAAGCCAGCACTTGCAGACTCAGTCCTCCGGCTTTTCTCCCTGCCCCTGGATTGGCAGGCGCTCTGGCTCTACTTTTCCACCTGTCACCATCACTTACTTGTCTGCGTGCATTTGTAACACTTGGGTGGGAAATCTTCAGACCCACAAATTCTCTAGCCTTCTCAGGGGGTGAAGGGGAAAAAGGAAATGCCCAAGAAGTTACCGAGCAACCTGGTTTATGCATTGATTCATCTAGAATAGTTCTCACTAAGAGCCAAGAACTTGCTTCCAGAACAAAGCTGTGTTTCACACTGCCGTCATCCGATGACACAGATAGAGAGAAAACCCGCTGCTCCAGACGGTAGCTACCAGTATGCCTCACATCAGCAAATGGGATCATATTTCCATTCCTTCATCCTTCCCACACAAATTGCAAATACAACATTATAATGAACCATTCTATATAGCCTATGTTTAAAGTCCTCACTCCCCAAAGAGACGGCCTGTTTAGATATACTATGTGTGGGGGGCATTTACATCAAAATGCCTTTCTCTTGCATGTTACTATAGAAATCTCCTTTACACCAAACCAGACAGCTAGTCTGCTTTTTGCAGTTTGCTGCTTAGAGGATTGCCTTTTCCTTTACTAGTTCTCTGGGCTAGCTATCACTGATTACATCAGTAACTCCCCCAGCAACAATAGTCTTTTACTTAAAATTATTACTATTATCATTTTTCTCATTTCTTTATGGACAAAGGGTTTACTTTTCTTTCAAGAAGATAACTTAGACCTTATTGGCCAGAAAGGAAAAGCCAATCTCTCATTGGTTGGTATGTATCGCCTCATTGACCAATAAGAGGATGCCATTTATCCTTTACTGACTAGCAGGGAGAGCAGAGTACCCAGAATGATTGAGCCTGCCTTAGTTTTATCCAGCAGCAAAGGACAGGTTCAGAATTCTGGAACCCAGGGTCAGGGTCTTGCTTTACCTGGTTCAGGTTGTACTTGATTTACATGAATTAAGTTTGGTGCTTATTTATTTGTATCTCACTCAAACATACCGATGGGGCACATTGTTCTGTGTTTTCCCACTTTATGATGCATCATAAATGTATTTCCAAGGCAGCATAGGTTATTTGTAGTATCAGTACACCAGGGGTACAGGGATCTGAGATCTCTAGGAATACAGTGTTGGTCCTTAAGTGTGAGGGATTTGTGAAAAATTGGAGCGAACAGGACGGAGAAGAGGGAAGCATACCTCACCTGCGATGGGCAGGCATCTCTGTGCTGGGGACTCTGCTCAGCCTTGGCGCTCTAGGATGGTTTTGCGTTTGCTCTTTGGCATGTTGGCAGCTGCCCTTTCGGTGTGAAAACAGGATGGATGGAGACAGTGACTCAAATACAGGAGAAGGGCAGACTGGCCACTGTTCGGGAAGGCTCCTGGCAGGTAGGTGATGGTCCCTGGAACAGTGTGGGGGCAGGTCAGCTTTTCTGTCACCGTTTGTTTCCTTCTTCTCTGCTCCAAGCCCTGAAATGCGGATGTGGATTCCAGTTCTCAGGGAAAAGGTGCGTCGGGGGAGTCCACTGAAGATTCTCTTCGTCCGGGACAAGCACACCTGGAGGATGCCTGACTGTGAGTACAGGCTCAGTTTGTCCCTCCTGGATTCTTGGGACAGACACCATCAAGGGACACCTTCTCCCCCCTCCCCATGCTGGGCTGAATTCAGTGGGACCATGCGCTCCAGGGCGAGGCTGTGCTTCCATAGTAGGGGCTCTGATTCTTCCAAGGTTGAAGCAGGGGCTCAAGACTAAATCTTCCGGGACAGTACCAAGAAAAGCCCTCTGACTTCTCTGTGACAATGGTAGTTCAAGTGCTGTGCCTACCCCCACCTCGGGCTCTTCCTCCTTATCTAAAGCTTCATATTCTCCCAGCCTGCCTCACAAAAGATACATGAAGGCTCAATTAATTGTTACCATGGTTACATGGAGTGGCCACACTGAGGATTCCTATCACCCATTACTGTCATGAGGTAAAAGAGAGGAGGGGTTTGGGGATCGTTGTCATGGAGGAAACCATGGAAACCATGGTTGCTAAGGGGACAGCTCTAAATTCAGAGCCAAGAAATGAGAAGTGGGGAGTGACACTTAGTGGGCTCAAGGGCAGGTCACTATTCCAAAATGCGATCCTCTGAGACTGTAGCAGTGTTTTGGGTACCTTGCATCTTCTTCCAACTCAGAGAGAGCTGGAGTTTAAGAATTTCAGAGAGCTCGAACCACCACCAGGTCAAGACCATCCTCACTGGATCTATCGGGAGAAAGGCAATAAAAACGGATTGATCCCATGCCTACCACAAAGTTTTGCTGCCTCTGGACTCTGCCTCTCTGCCACTGTTTTGCCAGGCTAGTTAGGAAGAGTCCTCGCCCCCCTAGACAGTGTAGGGCAGTGACTGAGTTGGTGGCTTTTGAATCAGGGTTACGTGAATTCAGGTCTACAAAGTGATATACAGATGGCTTCTGAGAGTCTCTCTGAAGTTTTCTGTCACGTCCTTTAGCTTGTCTCTTATCACCTGAAGGTCATGCGGAAGGTCCCTACCACCTACTCTTGGCTCAGCAGCCCAATTAGACTTGATCTTTAGCACACACTGAGGTCGAACCTCACTGTGGTCCTGGGCTAGAACTGGGGACACACCTTGCATTCTCTGCAAAGCACTTTTTAGGGTTTAGAGTGTAGAACTGTGCCCCATCCCAGGCCCTGGGCTCTGAAGGGGTTGGACTGAGAGTCCCTACCCACCCCATTTGCTGATGACTGTCCAGGCAAGCCCTTCCCTAGTCTAGAAGAACAGAACAAATCAAAGGATGGAGGTGGGGTGGGGCAAAGAGAACCAGCTAGCAATTAAAAGGCAAAAGAATTAAAAGCACCAATCAGGAAGGGTAATAATCCTTCAGCTGCTGCAGAAATACAATTAGGGCCATGGGCTCTTAGAGTTACCAGGATATTGTGGCTTTTCCTAATTAAGGAGCGGATGTGCCCTGCCCATGCAATTAGAGGCTGGTTCAGGCAGTGGGGGCCCTGCCTACCTTTTATTAAGGTACTACAAGGGGAATTAACCAACCATACAGCCTAAGTCCCCTTGCCTAGTAGTCCCACTTGACTCTGAGTTGCGGGTTATGCGCTCTGGGAACCCTTGGAAAGGGGAGAAGAGGCCTGGGGTAGGCACTACTTGGAGCTCTTCCTTTTATCCATTCTCAGTGGTAGCACAGGGTTTTATGATACCTGAAGAAAATATGGAGACATGGGCTGCCCCACCTGCTTTCTGTGAGAAATAAGATTCCCACATGATTAAAGGAAGCGTCCTCACTGTGGAAAATAGGGGGAGAAAGAGAGGGGGATTTCTCCCCCTTTTGGGGCCGGAGACTCCAGGGAGTTCTGGGATGTGTGGGGTACGTGGGGCGGGGAGTTGTATGGGGTGGTGCAGTGGAGAACACAGGGAAAATTGTGGGCGTGGGGGAAACGCTGGCCTTCCCTACAGGAGTGTCCAGCTGATAACAGGTGGTGGCCAAGGCCCAGAGGAGGCGGTACACAAGGCCATGGACAGGCCAGCCCCGTCTGGAAGACTAGTGATTTTGTTGTTGTCACTCTATACTCAACAACAAGTCCCAGTCTGCCACACGGTGCTGGTCCTCTCGGCATCTGGGGGAGGTATGGGAGCCCCATTTCTGGATGTATTTTCTCTGCCTTCTATGTTCCCTAGCAAGCACCTCTAGAAACTACCAAACTATTCCTCTAAGGCCTCGACTGAGGACACCTCAGAGGGACCCCTCCAGAAACAAGGACACTGAATCTGGAGTGGGGCAGGGGACAGGATGCCTGTCCTCAGGGAATGGTGAGCGGCTCTGCATCCACAAACCCTCCCGTGGGCTTATTCATTCACCTTACAAGCTCCTCCTTGGCGAGAGACACCACTGGGCCAACAGACAGGCCTCACAGAGAGCAGGTGCTGTGCTCCTTCCCTATCACCTGGTGGGCAAGTGGGCCACCCGATCCTGGCTGGTCTGCAACGTCTGTGCCTGCCTGTGGGGAGTAATGGTATAGAAAGAACTCTTCAATGCCAATAAATAGAATTTTAGAAGCCCTGGCCCTGCCTGTGCTTGGAGGCCACCTCGATGGCAGAAGTAGTCATTTCCCCACAAATGTGGTGGCAAGTGCCTTTAATTCCAGCACTCAGAAAGGAAGGAATGGAGGGAGGAAGGGAGGAAGGAAGGAAGGAGGAAGGAAGGAAGGAGGGGAGGAAGGAAGGAAGCCCTTTGCAGCCCTCCATCCTTTCTGGGTGTCATGTAGCCCAGGCTGGCCTTCAGTTACCTATGTAGCTAAGGATGATCCTGAACTCCCATTCCTCCTGCTTCTGCACCGAGCGCTGGAATTACAGGCATATGCAACCATACTCGGTTTATGCAGTGCCGGGGGCACAAACCGAAGGCTTCACACAGAAGCAAGCTTCTACCACCCGAGTCCTCCAGCCCTTCTCTTTGCTTTCTCTTCTCTTCCTCTCCCACTCTCTGCCCTCCCTCCTTCCCCCTCCCTCCTTCCCCCTCCCTCCTTCCCCCTCCCTCCTTCCCGACATTCGTTCTTCCATTCATTTGCACTACTGGAAATAGAACCTAGGGTTCTGTGCATGCTAAGCAAGTGTTGTATCCCTCTGCTACACCCCAGCTCCTCCCCTTTCTCAATGCCCTTGTCTGGAGGCCACCTTGCCCTAAGGTGGGTACCAAGTCCTGATGTTGACACACTCGGTGGAAATAAATTCCTCAGCAACAAGCTCAAGCGCCCTCTCTGTCCCTTTCCACGCTGAGTCTCACTGTCGTCCGGGACCCATGAAGCAGACAGAGCGTGCTGTAGCACCTGACACTGAGGTTGGCCGGGGGCCACACCTTCAGAAACCGTGAGAATGTAACCTCGGCTAAGCTAAGCTCAGCAGGATGGTGACTAACACTCGGAAGCTGTGTGACCTTTGGCAAAGGCACTTAGCCTCTCTGAACCACTTCACTTCACCTGGCTGTCCCCTCCCCTCCTCCAAACGGCTCTTTCCAATTTCTCCTGGCTCCAGCCCTGCCAGTAGGCAGCCGGTCCTATTGAAAATCTCATTCACACTTGAGAAGGCTACAAATTGGGTCACTCAGCAGGGGTCCGTCCTGCAAGCCGCAGGTGGAGTGTGCGAACACGCACCCAAGTGTGTTAAAAGAGATAATGGGCAGGGCTAACAAGAGGAGAGGGAGAGGGGGGGTGGAATCTCCCCCGGATGCCCTCAGCATCCAGGGGTGACATGGCAATGAGAAGACTTCCATCTTGGGTTCAGGAAGCAATAACTCAGGAAGGGGAAGGAAGTGAGGTGTATGTCTGATCCGAGAGCTGGATAAGACCACCTCAGAGCTGTGGGTGTCGAGCAGACCCATGGCTCTGAACTCAAACTCCTCGGTTTCAAGCCTCCTTCCTCTGCTGTCATGCTGTGTGACTTCCACACAGGCGCTTGCTGTCTCTGAGCTTCACATGCTGCTGATCCCATCTACCTAGCTAGGTGGTCATGATAATTCGGCAAGGTGGGGGGGTTATATTTTTTATTGTGAGCCTAGTCTTTAATAGCTGAGTCATCTTTCCACGGGGGGGGGTGTTAATAACACACGATGCCTCTTGTCAGTTTTCCTCTTCTCCAGCCCATCACCCTCATTTACTTCAAAGCCTTCCTACTCCCTTCCCACATAGTTTCATCAGCCCACTTAGCATTGATCTTCCCCTTCCCTTGTCTATTTCAAGTCAATCAATACATAATAATGCATAATAAAAATTATGGAGTCTGATTAAACCTCTCCTCATCTTAAAGACACGAATCAAGGTTTAGACAGGTGACAACTTGCCCCAAGTCACCTGGCAAAATAGACAGTTCTTTAGTTTCTAAGGTAAGGGGACGTTTTAGGGCCTCTGCAACACAAAGGGGTCGTTGACTCAAGGGTCAGATCATCTGGGTCTCCATCAAAACCTCTGGTAAAATCACTGTGCACGCGTTTCCTTTCATACACGGGGCCGCAGCGCCCTCTGCTGGTCTCTGGGTACCTGCTCTCCAGCAGCGGTTCTCGGTGGGCCGGAGTGAAGAACCGATCCAGATCTTGTTAAGTCAGAAACTTGGGCTGTGACCCAAATGTCGGTGGTTTTTCAAGCTCTCTAGGATCAGTCGAAACTGAAGACCGCCGAATTAAGGGTTAATTTGATACATGAAAAAGACGTGGCTTAGAACAGTACAAGCAACGGTGGTGAATAAAATTCTCCAGATGGAAGCACCCCAGTCTTGCGTGATAAAAATCAAGTGTGATATTAACCTGGGCCTGAGTGCTGCACGTCCTACGGAGGTGGGGGAAGGATAATGGCACCACACATGTCTAGGTCCAAAGTCCAGTTCGGTCGCCGTTGGTTTTGGAGTGATGTTGGAGGGGGAAGCTGTTGAGTGAAGTAAATGATTTACATGTGGTCCCTTCCATTCTACCAGCTGAGCTTGAACTTGGTCCTGCTTCCGGATCACTACCAAGCAGCTTGTTAGCTTGGAGACAGATTGCTGGGCTGGCTGTGTGGTTCAGTGGTAGAGTGCTTGCCTCATAATGTGCTAAGGCACTGTGTCCTATCCATGGCAACACACACACAATTGCTAGATCCCACTTCCTTGCTTTTCATTCAGGGAGTCCAACCACTTCCCGGGCGATGCCTATGGCTCTGGCATATAAAGAACCACCACTCTGAAAGTCAACCCGACGAGCATCCCCTGTCAGATCTGCACCCAGTCAGTAACAAGGACATCCCCACAACACTCTCCTCAGCTGTCCTCAGGATGGGTACTCTCCTCAGCTGTCCTCAGGATGGGTACACATGGCGTAGGACAGCGCATGGGGCATAATTTGCAAAAGCAAAAATATCAGTTCTTGCCAGGTGTGGTGGTGCATGGCTTTAATCCCAGCACTGGGGAGACAGAGGCAGGCGGATCTCTGTGAGTTCAAGGCCAGCCTAGTCTACAGATGTAGTCCAGGACAATCAGGGTTACACAAAGAAACAATGTCTCGGAAAAACAAACCAGAACCAAAACAAACAATCAAGTTTTACTTCCCAAATGTTTCCTTTCCCCCACTCACATCTGCAATGGTAACCTCGAACGGCTGGCTCCTCCTGCCTCCACCTCCCAAGCGCTTCGACAGCAGAGGTGCACCAACCACACCCCTGAGGATCAAACTGTGCATCTGAAAATCACCTAGAGGAAGGCATCCTTAGAGGTGGGGCTTGAGCCAGGCCCAGCTCACAAAGTTTCTGTTATGGAAAAGCTCCCAGATGTTTTCACTCAGGATTGGGAAAGTGAGCTCAGTGGCTTAAGAAGTGAGGATGGGGTCCGGCGGTGGTGCACGCCTTTAATCCCAGCACTTGGGAGGCAGAGGCAGGCGGATCTCTAAACCCTGTCTTGTAAAACCAAAAAAAAAAAAAAATAAAGAAGTGAGGATGGGTCCTGCCATCCTTAGTCAAAATGCCAACTGTCCTGAATGCCTAGCACCTCCATTCTTTTGTTTGCTAATATTAATGACATAGATCTAAGTAGACACAAAGGATGTACCATAAATAGTGACATCTTAAGAAAATTTTAGGTCAGTATGATTGCTCAGCTGGTAAATGAGCTTGCTGCCATACTTGACGACCTAAGTTCAACACCCAGGACCCTTGTGGTAGAAGGGAACATGTTTTTGAGTTATCTGACCCCCACACACACACCATAAAACATATGAATGCTGGAGATAAAGCTGGCTGGTAGGGAGCTTGCATACAGGAAGCCATGGGTCACATCCTCTGCCCCTTGTACACTGAGTATAGCACATGCTTATAATCTTAGCATTTGGAAGGTGAAGAGAAGAAGTTCAAGGTTATCCATGGCTACATAGCAAGTTGGGGGCCAACCTGGGCTACACGAGACCCTTAAAAATATTGGCTGAGGGGTGATTCAGGGAGTAAAGGTGCTTGCTGCCATGACTGACAGCCTGAGCTGGATCCCCAGAACCCCCCTGGAGGAAGGAGAGAACCAACTCCCACAGGTGGTCCTCTGACCTCCATACCAACCCCATGGCATGTGCATACCTACGCAGATACAAAATAAATGTATTGGAAAAAAAAGCCAGAGCCGGGTATTGGTGGTGCATGCCTTTAATCCCAGCACTCGGGAGGCAGAGGCAGGCGGATCTCTGTGAGTTCGAGGCCAGCCTGGTCTACAGAGTGAGTTCCAGGATAGCCTCCAAAACAATACAGAGAAACCCTGTCCTGTCTCTAAAAACCAAAAAAAAAAAAAAAAAAAAAAAAGAAAAGAAAAGAAAAAAAAGCCAGTATTGTCAAATAAATGCAACCAAACCTCCATAGTATAACCATCTTGATTTTAACTTTACCAATTGTTTTTTATTTTATTTATTTTATTTTGAGACAGGCCCCTTGTAACCCAGATGGCTTCCAACTTGCTATGACCTTGTACCCTCGACCTTTGACCTCACCTCCCAAGTGTTGGGGTTGCAGGCATGTGCCGCCACGACCTAGCACATTATCTTTAAAGACAGTGCATCAGTACATAGCCCTAGATGGTTATCACGCCAGTCACATTATCAGTTTTTGTTTTTGTTTGTTTGTTTTTTGTTTTGGTTTTTCGAGACAGGGTTTCTCTGTATTGTCTTGGAAGCTGTCCTGGAACTCACTTTGTAGACCAGGCTGGCCTCGAACTCACAGAGATCCGCCTGCCTCTGCCTCCCGAGTGCTGGGATTAAAGGCCACATTATCAGTTTTTAAAGTTATCTGATGACTCTTGGAAGAGATTATACTGACTTTTACCCAAGCACCATGCTCCAAGAAATCTACAATGGGGAAGACTTTCTCCCTCCATTTTGAGTTCTGGAAATAGCTTTCCATAAAGAAACACCTCTTCACATATAGTGAGATGAAATTCATGAGCGCAGCGGTCTTGCCACATCCACAAGACATTGTTTTCCTCCAGTCCTCCCAGCCTCTGGCTCTTATGGAGACAGTGCCCAAGCCTTGGGAGAAGGGATGTGACACAGACATCTCCTTTATGGCTGAACACTCCACAGCACTTATTTCCATCTTGACCTGTTTTGAGTGTCTGTGTTAAGGGCTGTCCAGTGCACAAAGAAGCTTCTCTAATGAGGTCTTAGAGTTCCATCCATCTAATTTATGAAAATACAAATTTTTTTTGTTTTTTGAGACAGAGTTTCCTCTGTATTGTTTTGGAGGCTGTCCTGGAACTCGCTCTGTAGACCAGGCTCCAACTCACAGAGATCCGCCTGCCTCTGCCTCCCGAGTGCTGGGATTAAAGGCGTGAGCCACCAACGCCCAGCGTCAAAAGATCTTTGAAGGCTGAAGTTCATTGGGCATCAGATCAGAAAGGGTAGGCCTTCACTAGCATCTGGGACAGAAGAAGGAGGAGTCTTACTAACCTCCAAACACTGCCCTCTCCGCGCACAAGCCACGCCCCGTAGGTGGCCCCTCCTCTTCTGGTCTGGCACACCTACTCGAGGAAGACCAATAAGAAGAGGCCTTAGGCGGGCTCTGCGGCCCAGAGAACCAATAGGCGGGCAGCCGGAGCCGGGCTTGTCCGGGCAAGCAGTCGCTGCGCCGGGCGAGAATTTCCACGTGTAGGCCAGAAAGCGCGGACCGGTCTTTAGGTGAGCTGCGAGTCGGCCGGGGGAGTCCGAGCCGGGAGTCGGCCCGGGGAGTCCCTGCCTGCGGGTCACTGTCGCCAGCCGCCTGCCGCTCTCGGGGCGGGGCGGTGTGCACCCAGACCGGCGTGCGGTCTCACGCGGTCCCGGCCGGTCTCGGGGACTGTGGGCCTGAGGAGGCGGCGACCGCAAGGAGCGCCGGCCGGACGCCACAACCAGTGGGGAGAGCGTAGTCCCCACAACCCTCCTTGGTCTGGTAAGCTTTTGGGTAGCACCGGGCTTTGCTAAACTGGGATCATTATCAGAATCGTGACCTGAGGGTGGGTCTCGGGTCCTGTCCCCAAACTTTGCCTTCTCCCTAGGGCTACCTAGTCAAAGCTCGCGGTTAATAATCAGGGGACAGTGCCTTCCCGAGGTCATCTGGTTATTTCGAGCTGGAACAGGATCTAAACCGGCCCTCTGATAGAGACCTGGTCTGCCAGCAGAGAGATGGCCCTTAGGCTACTGACGACTCTGGCTTTGCAGTTTCTTGGGCGCCTTCGCATCTGGAGTCCTCTTGGGCCAGGGACCCTCACCTGAAAACCGAGTGCCTACCGTACTGACCAGAGTTAAGACGAGAGAAAATTTTGTATGTGCCCTTGTTGAAAGGGCTGTGCCCTCTGGATACTTCTCTTCAGCTAAATTGAGTTCCATTCAGTGGGTTCTCTTGGTAATTGTTGGTTCTGACATGTCCACAGGGCCAGGGACTATAGGAAATGACTGCTTTTATCTCTTCAGATACAAGGCCAGAGACGGTTCCTCAAGGGAACCTAATATTAGCTTCTTTCAAACCTTGCCAGCAGGGAAAGTCCATGGTCAGCAGGGCCAGCACAGGTCTTCTGGGCCAGTTTTTTTTTTTCTTCTCTTCCATTGCTGGGCTAGGGCAGTTTGAGATCCTGAATTTGTCAGTTTCCGAGATGTGGTTTGTGGATATGAAGAAGTTGCTGGCAATTTCTGTTTAAAAGAGGGAGTGCTATTTGGAGAGCGGGTGAGCGAGCCGAGAGCAGGTGAGTCAGCAGGGCTCACCCAGTCTCCTCCTGGCTAAGTGGGCAGTACGCCTCATACAGGACTTCCCCTCTTTTCCCCCCTCTCCTGGGCCACCACTGCCCAGGCCCCTAGTCTAACCTCCAGTGAGGCAGCTGTGGTGTCCCCTAAAGCCCTCCAGTGTCTTCCCCTTGTGTTACTGAGCTCAACCCCGTGTCACTTGCCTGCAGTGACTCCCCATCCCCCCTCCACCTGTCTCCGCACCCCCTGCTACCAAGCCATTGACAGACTGCACCAAAATCTTGGTCCTCTCTCCTGGGCTCTTGGCTTCGTGCCTGTTGCTTCCCTTTTCTGAGCGCCCTTCCCCTCCCTGGGCTACCCGGGGAATCCGTCTGAAATGATGCAGCGTCCCCTCTATTGCCAGGCCCTCCTTAACTCAGGGTTTCTTCCTGTTTGGGTGCCTACTCGGGTTCCCAGGTCCCCTTCCTGTTAGTCCCGCTGCCCTGGGGTTCCAAGGATATTGAGCTCTGTAGTACCCCAAGGCCGGATACTGGGAGGCCCAGCTTGGGCTTCTGAAAGGAGTCTTCCAAAAAACAGGGAGAGCAGACACAGTCTGCAGCTTGCTGACTTGAGGCAGCTCTGAGACTGCCCGATGTGTTGTAGTACACAGGTGAATTTCTTTGCTCCCAGATAGACAGCTAATGTCCTGGATCAGGGCTGCTGGTCTACATTTTACCGGCCCACCTGGGTGTCTCGGGCCTCCCTCACCTGACCAACAGACACCAGGGTGGGGACACTCACCTAGAGGAAGAGTGGCTTGTGGATGGACCACGAAAGTCAGTGGCAGAAGATGAAGTTTGAAAAAGGAAGCAGCAGCCTCCCCAGCTGTGATCCATCTTGTACTATATGGTGTAGCCTGGTGGCTTCAGGTGGCCCCTCTGCCTCAGCACCAGGCCTTTGTCCCTGGGGTCTCCCGCTGCCCACTGACCTCTGACCGGTTACTGTTCTCCATTGACATGGAAGTGACTTCCAGGAATCATCTGCAGGCTTAGTCTCTTTGGCCTCCTTGTACCTCTAGCCAGCTCTCGGCACACCATCTGCTGCATTTCTGTGTCTCTGGTCAAAACAAGCTTCCTGGCCAAGGATCCGTCTTAGTGGCCACCCAGCATCTGGTATAGTTGGGACCCCGGAGAATCTCTTGGCAACATTGGGGAGATGCAGGGGTTCCAGACAGCTTTTGCTGGCACAGTGCTGCGACTGAGTCTGCAGCGATGGGGGCACTGAGTTCGATGGAGGCAGCTCTGGCCTAAGGATAGCTGGCTGCCCAGTGTGAGAGAGAATCTCCTTGCTGGAGGAAAGGAGCAGAGAGCTAGCTAGCTGTTGAGCCTTACTGTGCGTGAGGTATGTGTACGTCAGACACATAAAATAAGGGTGGTATCAGTGGAGAGCTTGCAGAAGGCATGTATGGCATGTGTGGTGTTCGGATGCAGTTTTTAGTAAAGGTGTCTGAGTTTCAGTCAGGTACTTGAGCTGCAAATACCACCAGGCGTGGCCTGGCATCCTCCTCCAAGTCCCTCTTCTGTGTGCTCTCTCTCCAGCACCCTGCCCCGTTGGAAGATAGCTTCTCTTGTTCCTGGCTGTGAGCTGCCTGGCATGGTGCTGGGAGAGGCCTCTGAGTCTACTCAGTGTCCATCCCTCGCCAGCCCGAATACCAAGGATGTGGCTCGGAAAAGACACAAGAGGAGAAGCCGGCAGCACCAGCGGTTCATGGCCCGCAAAGCCTTGCTGCAGGAGCAGGAGCTGTGGAACATGGCACCAGGGCCAGGACCCTGCCCTCTGCCCTCCCCATCACAGACATCAGCAGACACAGAGGCTTCGGGCAGCAGAAAGCAGCGTCCCAAAGCCACGTCTAGCAGCGGTGGCCCATGCAGCAAAAGGCCTGTCCCCGGAGAGACCCCAAGGCGTGGGCCTAGCAAATGTGTTGCCATTGACTGTGAGATGGTGGGCACGGGCCCTCGTGGGCGGGTGAGCGAGCTGGCCCGCTGCTCTGTGGTGAGTTACAGTGGCGATGTTCTCTACGACAAGTACATCCGGCCTGAGATGCCCATCGTGGACTACCGCACCCGCTGGAGTGGCATTACCCACCAGCACATGCGTAAGGCCATCCCCTTTCAGGTGGCCCAGAAAGAGGTGAGGACTCTGGGGTCTTGTTTGGCCTGAAAGACAGGTTGGGGAGAGAAGCCCTGGTTTAAGTCACCGGGGCAATGTGGGGCCTTGAGAAGTTGCTTCACCAAATATGCAGTTCCTTTTCCAGAGTACGGGTTAATATAAATCCAGGTGATGCCTCTAAAGGGTTGCCAGGCTGAAGGCAGGGGGCTGCTGGTAGAAAGGTTATATGAAAGGTAAAGGCACAACAACTTACAAAATGTTGGGAGTCTCTAAAATTTGCCTACAGTCCTGTCACATTCAAGTGTTGTTTTAGCCCATCTCCTGAGGGTTTTTCAGTGCTTGGAAAAAATGATCAGTCGTTGGGATCCCACTAATACTAGGAATGTTTTATCACATAAATAGAAGCCCTAAGTAAGACACATTCAGTGATGCCCCAAGCATTGCATTGGAAAGACTTGATCATGAATAGAAGCAATAGGAAGGTAATCTGTGTGAGCCCTCCAACTCTGATCCCTGCCATCCATGTTTGTGGATGGTAGTGATCCCTGGAGCAGGCTCACTTGGGCTTACGTCTATGTTTGATCTCTCCCCCACTTGATGGCAGGTGGAGTATGAGACTGGGGGTGACCCCAATCAAAGTCTAAATACGTCCTACTCATCTGCCTCAAAAACTGGGTTCCATGCTATTAAGGGTAGACCATAGAAGGCCAGCAGCTAATGACCAGGAGTTGGCAGGCCTTAACCCTGTTTCTCTGAGCATGGGGAAGGTGCTGGGCAGGGAGGAACAGGGTGTGTCTAAACAGCTGCAGAGCAGGTTTAGAGGGTAGGTAGGAGGAGTCAGTGCACTCAGGAGCAAGGAACTGCCTCATTGAGCACTAACAAGGACTTCTACCAGGCATGGCTCTGTTGGTTTCATTCAACCGGTCTTTATTGATCAGCAGATAAGTTGGCTGGGAGACTGAGGTAGGAGGGTTGATGTTAGTTCTAGCCTGGACTGCAGAGTGAGCCTTGTCTCAAAAAGACCAACCCATTAAGCAAAAGCAAATCAGTAAATGCTGTGCTCTGGGTGGACATCACTGGTCAAGTCAAAGGAGCTTATTGTGCGGGAAGGGAGACTAGATCATCCCAAAAGCTAAATCCCTACCTAGAAAGTGTGGCTAGCTTAAAAGAAGGACCGGGGCTCCTGGGTAGATGAGGGTCATAGGAGACCCTCCAAGGAAGACTGATGAGCTGAGACCTCGGTGGGTGAGAAGGTCTTGCAGCCAAGAATTGCCTGTGCCGGTACAAAGCTGCATGGATCTCCCAGTTGAAGGCCTGGCTTACCCTCACAATGGTTCCCTGGAATGCTGAGACAGTATCCCTTTTGCAGGTGCTAAGATGGGTTTGTGTTCAGACTTGGGACATCATGGTCAACTGGGGCTCAAAGGCGCTCCCTTCCCTACTGCTGCACCCTTCTAGAGTGGTTCGTGCATCAGTGCTAAGGGCACTCACGTGTGTCTCCTTCCGGCCTGCTCTCTCCTCACAGATCCTTAAGCTCTTGAAGGGCAAGGTGGTGGTGGGCCATGCACTGCACAATGACTTCCAGGCCCTCAAGTATGTTCATCCTCGGAGCCAGACCCGGGATACCACTTACGTCCCAAACCTGCTCAGCCAGCCCAGCTCCCACACCCGAGCTCGAGTCTCTCTGAAGGACCTGGCCCTGCACCTGCTGCACAAGAAGATCCAGGTATGCGGTGCAGTCTCTTGGGGCGGGGCTCATGTGCCTGTCATAGCTGCTGAGCTGTGGATAGGCCTGTGGACTATGGCCACCTCCTTTCCTGTGGGAGTTCCCTAGTGGTAGTGATTCTTCTAGACTCATCTCTGTAGGTCTTTGCCCTCCTAACTCCTGGCCATAGTTATCCTGTATCCCCGTAGGATGTGCTCTGACTCACACTCAGATCAAGGGGCCTGTGACTCTTAGCTTCTGGAGCAGGAAATTGTTTTTTAATGTGTGTGGGTGTTTGGCCTGCATGTATGTCTACACACAGCATGCATGGTGTACTTTTGGGAGGCAGAAGAGGGCATCAGGTCCTCTGGGACGGGAGTTAGACAGTTGTGAGATGCCATGTGGGTGCTAGGAATTGAACCTGGGTTTCTGTGGAAGGGCAGCCAGTGCTCTTAACCATTGTGCATCTCTCCAGCCCCCACATAAAGAGATGATTATTTTGGTTCATGGTTTAGTAGAGTCCATGAAGCTGTATATCTTTAGTGAAGTAAGCAGAGAAAGGAATAGAGACGGTGTACTCGCAAGGTCTTTTTCAAAAAAGGTAATCTGTTTCCTTACGCTGAGTCCCACCTCAGAGTTTCTAATACCTCTCAAAATAGCACTGTCAGCTGGGGAACAAGCCCACAACACAGGAGCCTTTGGGATATATTTTGTTTCTTGACCCTTGGAGGCCATCTTTGCTTCGGGGTTGATGGTCCCGCCCATTTCACCACCTAGTGTTGTTATTTTTGCTCCTGTTCTAGGTAGGTCATCAGGGACACTCATCTGTGGAAGACGCCATGACAGCCATGGAGCTCTACCAGCTGGTGGAGGTGCAGTGGGAACAAGAGGCCAGCAACGCCCAGGCCCTTCCTGAGGACAGGGGATCCGACAGCAGCACTGACGTGGAGCAGTACATGGAGGATCAGTACTGGCCTGATGAGCTGTCCCAGAGCACCAGTGCAGAAATCAGGGAGGCCCAGGAAGGAAGGGAGTGAGACGAAGGAACAGTGAGTGGGAGAGCCAGAAGTGGTCCTCCCTAGACAGACAGGGTAGGTAGTAGCCTGGAAGACGGGGCAGAGCACTCACTTGACCACATGCTGGTTCACAGCACCACCTCCTGTGACTAAGGGATGCTTTTCCCAAATCCCTGTGGGTTTGCTAATGACACCAGGCAGGCTGTGTCCTAGTGCCTAACAGATACAGGGAAAGTGCCACAGAACTGTCCAAAGTTGTCACTGGCTTCCTGAGCCAAGTCTTCTGCGGTCACTGCTGTGCTACTCTGGGATAAAGCATCTATCTCTCCTGGAGTGGTGGGTGTGGTCGGTGTCCAGGACTCCCTCTTCCATCACTGGCAGGGTGATGTTCATTCAGTTGCTGTTGCTACCTCTCTTCCTCCACAGATATGTTCAAAATGACAGTAACTTAAAGAGTTAAGTAAGGCCCTTGAGAAAGACATGCGTTCCCTGTCTGTTACTTTCTTAATAGATGTCCTATGTCCTAAGGGTAACTTTAGGGGACTATGTTACTAAGCAAGGACTCTAATAAAACCTCATCATTACTGCCTTGAGACATTGGGCAAGCCTGTGACTTCCCTGTTGAGCCTGTTTCCCCTCTCTAAGTTGGGGAGAGTGACAGACCTACCTCTTGGGTGTCTAGGTGCGTTGTGCGCATCCTCATGATGGGAGTGAAAGTGCTCTATTCAGGCCGGTGCATGACTTCTGAGCAGCTGTGTCCCTGGCAGGACTCTTGTTGGGCTTTCCCAGCAGATGAGGTGGGGGCCAGGGCAAGAGCATTGTAGGGGAGTTCTGAGTTCTCAACAGGTCCTGCTACAAGCTTTTGGCTTCACGTCAGCATCTGGCCACTGTGTTTGGGAAAGTGACAGCGGTAACCCAGACAGGGTCAGAAAGGAAGGAACACTAGTGAGACCACACTTCCAGCTGTCAGTCCTGATGGCACAAAACCTTAGTTGAGTCATGGATTGTATGCTTGCTCGCTCCTCCCTGCCAGGGAAGAGGAAGCTGGCTGAATCATCACTGTGGCCCGGCGCCAGGGGTAAGCTCTTGCTTCCTTAAAAAGCAGCAACTTGTGCCAACCTCACTGCTGGGTAGTTTGATGGCTTCATTTGTGGCTTGAAGGGTGGTGGAACCGGTAACCTGTGGAAGTATACTGTGAGAAAGAACTATCTTGTACTGAACCATTAATGCAGGAATAATAAATTATAAAGCTCAATTGGAAGAGTGAGTGAAGTGATCCTTTCTAAACAGTCAGTGCTGCCCTCAAGGGTGGCTGGTTGAGGGTTGGGGAGGGCTAGAGCGCTGAGCTTTGCTGGGTGCTGGTCTTGAGGTGGCGTCTTTGGGGATCTAATGAAGTTTGTGACTTCCTTTTGAAGTTGCCCTGTTACATAGCCCACAATTTAACTTGGTTTCTTCCCAAAACTATATGCTTACATTAAAAATTCTTGGGGTATTTTGTTGTTGAAAAAGGATCTCGTGATAGAACCCACACTTCCTGTAACTCCTTATGGAGCTCAGGCAACCCTGCCTCAGCCCACTGAGTGCTGACATTGTAAGCACTTGTTGCCACTCCTGATAGACTGCCCTTTAGGAATAAGATTCCTTTGTGTGTGAATAATGTTAGGCCACCTGTCCTCACACAACATGCTCAGTCACCCTCTTGGCTATTGTGAGTTAAGTAGCCATAAGCGTGGCACACAGATATCTCTGCTATCCTGCCTTCAAATACTTGGGTAGATTCCCAGGAGGGGAAATGCTGGGTCATGTGTTTGGGCAGCTCTTCCACAGCAGCTGCGTCATCTTGTATTGCCTACAACTGTTCAAGAATTTCAGTTTTACTTTGAGGACGGGTCTCATCGTGTGACCCGGGTTGACTTGGAACTTGTGGAGATCCTCTTGCCTCAGCCTCGATTCTGGACAGTTGAGCTTACAGGTTGCCTCTAGAGAGCGCTGCCCTGCTGCTGTTAATTGTCTTTGTCTGTTTTGTATTGCATAACAGCACCCGAGGCTGGTGCTTGATTCAGATGTCTGTAAAGGCTTGGTCTACAGGGCTCTGCTGAAGCCTGTGGTGGGTGTTGTGACGGTGGCTCACGAGGCAGGACAGGAAGCGGGAGAGGCTTACACGTTAAGCCTGCTCGCACACTGCCAGATACAGTTCAACTTCCTAGAGACTGTTACTCCATTTGTGAAGATGGTATGTGTATCAAAACCCTCACATTCTTCCCATCTCTTCATGACTCAACCAAACGTGGAACTGAGCCCCTAGACCAGGAATCTTTGGGAAATACTAAGTTATACCTACCATGTTGTAGCCCACGTTGTGGGGACTTTTGTCAGGTCCAGCCAGCTTGTCCAGTCCGTTCCCGAGAGGGGGAGTATGGGTAAGAAATGGCAAGTAGAAGAAGATAACTAAAGAAAAGACAGACAAAAGACTTCCTTACCAAGACAAAAAGAACAAGTATTTTCAATACCCAAAACATCAAATAACCACACCCTAAACCAAAATCCTTTTGTTAAGGCAAGACATCCATTAGTTATTCCTTAGGCCAAATATTCTGTTGTTTAGCCTTGAAAGAGCAATAGTGGGTTTGAACTCTGACCTTAAGTCAAGATGAAACTGAGTCAGTTTTATGGGCAACAACGGCAGAACTATATCATGAGTTCTCCATTCAGTGTATGACCAGGCTCAGTGGGGATTAGAAAGAACCAGTAGCAGCTACGTGTCATGATGGGTGAGCAACTGATGGGATGTGTCCCTGGAAGGCTGACAAGTTTGCCCTGAGTGACTCTCCTGTCACCTGACCAACACGGCTGTGGGCTTGGCTTGCCATTTGATGCTGTCAGGTGAAACGGGACATCAGGAAAGCCCCTAGCTGAGGTCAGGGCTTCCTTCTTCAGACCTGTTAATCACCAGTACCTGGGTCCGACGGAACTCACTGTACACCTGGACAAAAGTTCAGCATAACCCGTTAGGGTTCTGGGAGGAGGTTCCCTCTCCGCGGGGGAACCAAAGAGAGCAGATAGAGTGCACAGCATTTATGACCATGCTCATCCTATAGAAAAGGGTAAGTCTGAGGACGGCCTTAGCGAATGAATGAATAAATGAATGAATGAATGAAAAGAGGACAGGAGGTGCATTTACACAGATAGGCTCAAAGGGGAACTGTTAGGCAGACTGTGATAAGGGAAAGGAGCTTTCTAGAAAGTTGAGCAGGTATTGTAGAACCCTGTCCTTTAAGCAAACTAGATGATCTGCACCTGCTTACACTTACGCTTGTTGACTATTGGTAGTCCCTCATGGGGAGAGGTTGAGGAGGGTCTCTGGGCCCTCACCTGAGATTCCAGCTACTCCCCCAGTCATCAGTATGCATTCTGCCTTAATTGGGTGGGGCCTGGGGTCTCAGGCAGTGGTAAAGTATGTGAGCTGGGAAGGATTGAAACTCCAGCAGCGCAGCTATGGGGAAGCCATCATGCACACAAGGTGAAGACTTACTGGTGTGTTTATTTTGGTGTCCTCCCAGGCTCCTGTGAGTAGCCTCACCCATGCTCCATAAGTAAGCCCAATAAATTCATTGGTTCTCCCAAGTTGAACTTCGGTGGAATTGTTCTTTGGCTGGTTGGGGCCTTTTAAAGAGGAAGTAGTAGACATTGTTTTATTTCTCCCAGAGAAGCAGTTCTTGAAATAGGGCAGCAAATACCAAACGCTGAGACATAAGCATCCTGCTGCAAGACTCCCACCTAGAGTGGGTCCTGTAGTCCAGTGTTTCTCAACTTGTGGGTTGCGGGAACGGTGAGGGGGGTATCAAATGACCCTTTCACAGGGGTCACAGATATCTGGCATATCAGTTATTTACATGACAATTCATAGCAGTAACAGAATTACAGTTATGAAGTAGCAACAAAAATAACTTTATGGTTAGGGGAGGGGGTCACCATACATGAGGAAGTGTATTAAAGGGTCACAGCTTTAGGGAGGTTGTGAACCACTAGAGTCTAGTCACTGGTCCTGGCCCTGGGGAAATGGTTGACATCTCTGGAGGAGGCATGTGATCTGGGAAGAATCACCACCATCACGCCAAGCCCCAGAGCTCGGGTTTAAACGAGAAGAGGCAACAACGGCAGAGCTATATCAGAGGGTACAAAAGAGACTGGAAGGGGCCATGGGACAGATGAAAGAACATTACATGGGAGATTTGTGTAATAAGATTGGTCTTGAACTTGCTCTGAAACTAAGGATGACTGAATTCTTGATCTTCCTACCCCAATCTGCCAAGTGTTGGGATTACATGGTATACCACCACACCTGGCTAATGCTGAACATCAAACCCAGGACTTCTTGCATGCTAAGCAAACACTCTACCATGCTGAGCTACACTCCCCAACTCCAACATTTTATTTTTGAAGCCTGGTAAAGTCAGACATCTGGTTTGGCAAAGAAACCACAGATCTGGGCAAGTTCCTTTCCAAACCACAAATCTTTATGACGTCACAGCAGGCTGAGGACTGTAATTCTATTTAGACCTAGGCAGGGAGGCAGGCCTGGCTCTCCCCTTGTTGGACTCTCACTCTCTCCTCTCACTCTCTCTTACACAGTGTAAGAGTGCTGTTTTCAGTCTGGGTCTGATCCAGGTGTACCTCGTTTGTTTATCGAAAGAATACTGAACATTCCCTGGATGATAGGTGTAAGCAAAGAGCACAATAAAGAAACCACTGAAGCGATGGCTCCACGATGAAGGGGAGGATTTTTATTGTAGCTATGAGAGAACAGCCAGAAGCATCCAGAAACGTCCAGAGCCGAGAAGACAAGAAGCAGATTGACCACGGCAGAGAAAATGGGAGGAGAGAATAGCGAGGGCATTGGGGTTGAGGGTTATTGCTGGTTTTAAAGAGAGGGAGGGGAGTGAGCTGGGACAGCCTGGGACCTAGCATAGTGGAGGAGTTGGGAGGTGAGAAGGATCAGAAGGCTAGCATGGACTTTAGAATGCTGAAATGCATAGCAGGTTTATGTAAATAGGTACCAAAGGAGTCTGGATATGTAACCACGGTAATGGGCTGTAAGCACAGGTGTAGTCTGGCAGGCAGAAACAGGGATGCCGTGTGTGAATACTGATCATACACCAGTAATCCTGTATATAATCCAGTTTGAGCTGAGCCTAGGTTGTCATTTTGGATAAAGTCAGTGAACCTGCCCTTTTGGGGGGTTCTTGGGATTTTTCCCTTAGAACTTAATAATAGGTACCACTCTAAGAATTCTAAGTTCCAGCCCAGGAATCTATAGCCCCTTAGGAAGGACAGCCTGGCTTGAGGCTCTCTCAAGGTCTGCTGCTCTCTGTCAAACTATTCCAGGTAGACACCCGGCCCATGGAGGCACTTGCTGAACTGGTAGAAGGCACCAACAGACGTCCCCCCTCCCCCAAAGCCTCCTTTGTCTTCACTGGGACAGAAGCCAGGGACCTGCCCCCTCCTGCCCTTCCCAGTTAATAGCCCCAGTGTCTTAAGAGCAGCTTGTTCTGCCCTCAGAAGACCTCACAGAATCTCATTCTGACAGCAGATCCCAGAAGTTGTGGGACATTCCCCAGGCTCCAATCCCGGAGATGTTTATTCTCTGGGTGGAGGGTGAAAAAGCAAAGAAAGATGTTGCAATCCACTCCATCCACGTCAGACACATCATCTGAGAGGGGAGGGCACGACCCGAGTTGGGGACGCCCTGAGGCAGCCAGCCCTGACCCAGCCTGCCAGCCCCCCTTACCTGCCAGCCTCGAGGCGATGGAGCAGCCCAGCACACATGGCCTGGCCCCCCTTCCCAACTTCCTTTGATAACAAATCAGAAACTGAAACTAAAACAGGCTCAAGTTAGAGATGAGTCACTTCGCAAAGTGACTGCAGTAGCTGAGAAGTGACAGCTGAGAGGCAGAAGAGAACCCAGGGCTTTGAAGCAGACAGGTGAGCAGGAACCACACAGCAACGCAGCCTGCGAGGCAGAGGGAGGGGGCTTCTTATTGGTGGGACAGCCAGACAGGACCAGCAGGCTCTGGGACCTAAGCACAGAGAAGCTGAAGGGTGGCAAGGGGCCGGCTCCCCCTGTTGCCAGGTGGCATTGGAGGCAAAGGGTAGGGCTGAGGGTGTAGCCTGGCAGGGTGGTAGCCCAGATGCCTGGAGGCTTGTTGGTTCTTGAATGACACCCTGGTTCCTCCCCCTCCTCCAGGGCTTTCTGAGGGTCACCAAGGAGCATGGCAGGCAGCCCAGAGGTGGTGGCCATGGACTGCGAGATGGTGGGGCTGGGGCCTCTAAGGGCGAGTGGCCTTGCGCGCTGCAGCATTGTGAACTTCAGTGGCACCGTCCTATATGACAAGTACATCCGGCCTGAGGGAGAGATCACGGATTACAGAACCCGAGTCAGCGGGATCACGCCTCAGCACATGGTGAGGGCTACACCGTTTGGTGAAGCCAGACTAGAGGTAAGTGGAGGACCGGGAGTCAAGCCCACAGGGGTTGCAGGGATCCTGCCCTTCCTCCTCTGCTCCCCCCTAGGGTCTGTGGTCTGTGACTCTACCATGAGAAATTCCTCACATTGCTGAGAGAACAAATCTGGGCCTTGTTGTCACAGCCCCCAACAGATAGTTTCCCCGCCAACAGAGACCCTTAGGCTCGTATCTGGGATGTCTTCTGGAGCGTCTATCCGGTCCAACTTTCAGGTCTGGGGATGGGGAGACTGAATTTCACCTGTGTCCCTTCCTTTTATACCACACTGCCTCTGGGACATGAGGCTCTAAGGCTAAGCTGGTTCTGCCTCAGAGGCCGGAGACTCCAGGACTGAAGGAAATCTTGTTCCCTGCCAAGTGCTCTGGGCCACAGCAGGCTCCCTGCTCCGTTTAAAGCCCAAGGTTGAGCCCTTTAGCATCTGGCCATGTCTTTTATGTATAACTTTCTGTTTCTTTGTATGACTGAAGGGAAAGGGAAACTCAATTTTCCCCAAGAATCGTCACCTCTGGGCAGGTTCAGCAGAATTGTGGTTGGTCTTTACAGACATGCCCAGTGTGTGCCAGGGCACTGAAGGTTGGACATCAAAATCCCAATAGTGCTACTATTTATTAGGTAGTAGGGGTACTCTCTGTCTCTCTCTGTCACTCTGTCTCTCTCTGTCCCCTCCTCATCGCTCCTCCCCCTCCTGCTTTCCTCCTCCTCTTCCTCCCTCCTCCTCCTCCTCTCCCTCTCTTCTCTCTTTCCCCCTCCTTCCTTCCTTGCCCCACCCCCCAGGCTCATTCACCCTTCCTGAGTTCCTTTCCACCTCAACCCAGCCCAAGAGGTGCTCAGGTGCTGTCTCACTGGGAAGCTGACACTCGAGTCCCAGCTCCCTGCTGCTCAGGAACCGGCTCCAACCTAACACTCCATCTGTATCTACCAAGGACGTGCTGTCTAGAATCTGGAAGGTGCCAAGGGAATGTCTGTGGGATACAAGCAGAACTGATTTTCAGCAATGAAGTTGCCTCTGTATTCCAGTTGCCTCCACCCCTTTGTGAGTTGCAGTGGTACACACACAGGCAGCGTGGGGAAGAGGCGAGCCGTCCTGGGATCCATTCTCGCCTCTGCCACCTGCCTGCTCTGTGTCCTCGGGCTTGCTTGATGTTCGCCCTATTGCACCCTTTCTTCATTCCACAGTAGTAGCGAGAATGAGGTAGCCGGGCTCGTTACTCCCACTTCTCAGATGAGAGAGCAAGGGGCAAGGTCTGTGGCATAGGGGGAGGTGGAGCTGAGCTCATTCTGACTCAGGGCTGGAGCTGTAGTGTCCTCTTCCACCACTCAGCATCAGTGTCCAGTGTAAGTAAGGGACAACGCCCAGTGCACACTCTCCCTCCCTCCCTCCCTCCCTCCCTCCATCCACCCATCCATCCATCCACCCACCCATCCATCCACCCACCCATCCATCCAGGCTCCTTCAGCTCTTGACTGAAGCTAACCCTAGCCCAGCCTCCTAGAACAGGAGCCGAGTACCATCTCACGTCTCTCACCCCACTCCATCCCTTCCCAGTGGAGTGGTCCTGCCAGACACTGACCCCTGCCCCACCCAAGGCCTTTAGGAGGCTGCCTACATACTAGGTGCCCAAGCACCTAGCCATCCTTGGCCTTCAGGAGCACGGGATCAACCAAGATCCCTGAAGCAGCCCTGCCATGACCTCTGTGGCTTTCGAGTACTGAGGCATGAAGAAGGCACACATACAGAAAACGTGGGATGGGCAGGCCCTGGACTCTGATGGAGTTGCATCCTCAGCTCAGAAACCAAGGAGGCAGGTTAGCTAGTCTCAGTAGGGGAATCCGTCGGTCTCAGGCTATAGTCATCCAGTGGAGGAAGCCACAGCCGATCATATCTGTACATTTCTGTGCTTTTTAGCTAATGGTTAACCACGCATCAACATAACATCTGTTGGACCAGGGGAGGCCTTGCCATTCTCCCCAGCCAGACCTCGGGAAAGCCTCTCTGTCTGCATGAGTCTGAAGTGTCTGTATCCTTGACATGTCCGTTCTCATGTCATGAACTCTGTAAGGGAGGGCACGGTGAAACCACCAAACTGAACTGCTCTGTGGGTGAAAAATAAAATTTATTCAAACTGCCATGGCTATCTATGGTGCAGGCAGAAAGAAACTTGGCAGGGTGTCTTTGGGATGCACCACAGGGACATAGAGATGAGTGGAGCTTGGGGATCAGCATGTAATTACAGGTGTCTGTCATGACAATAGAGAGCTATAGGTCCCCTTTGCCAGAGGCGGGGGGGGGGGAATGGAAGTGGCTCCTTTTGGCCACAGAAACCCTTTTTACAGTTTCCTGAGGAATGCTGTGTGGAGTGTCCATCTATCCACCTATAATCCTTTTGTTTTCCTCTAATTAGAGCTCTTACTGTCATCTTGGACCTAGTCAGTGGGGGAAATCTGAGTGTTCCTTTTGGAACCCGACAGATATTTGTTTTTGTGTTGCAGGGATTCAACCAGGTCCTTATACATGCTAGGATTAGTGTTATACCAACTGAGCTACACCCTCAGCCTTTTCAGCTTATTTATTTATTCATTCATTCATTGATTCAAGACAGGGTTTCTCTGTGTAACAGTCCTAGCTGTCCTGGAACTTGCTTTGTAGACCAGGCTGACCTTGAACTCACAGAGATCCACCTGTCTCTGCCTCCCGAGTTGTTGGAATTAAAGGCGTGCACCACCACCACTGGGCTCTGGTTTTCCTTATACTTAAGATACAATCTCACTAAGTTTCCCAGGCTGGCCTTGAACTCACTCTAACCAGACAGGCTTTGAACTTTTGGTCCTGCTTCAGCTTCCTGAGTATTGGGGGGGGGTCTAACAGAAATGCACTTCCAAACCCATTCTCCATAATTTTGTGTGTGCAGTCTGTGTGTGCTTGTTTGTGTGTGCACATGTGAGTGTACAGGTGTGCATGTGTGTGGAGGTCAATCATTGTAAGGTGTGTGTCGATTTCTTCCCACCTTATTTTTGAGACTGGGTCTTATTGAACTCGAAGCACATCCTTTTGGAAAGGATGGCTGGCCAGCCAATGCATTTCAGGGATCCATTTGTCTCCACCTGGCCCCCAGCACGAGGTTTATAGATCTGTGTCTATGCATCCAGTTTTTACGTGGGTGCTGGGGATCTGTTTTTTGTTTGTTTGTTTGTTTGTTTTGTTTTTTCTTTTTTAGTTTTTACAAGACAGGGTTTCCCCGTGGCTTTGGAGACTGTCCTGGAGCTCACTCCGGAGACCAGGCTGGCCTCGAACGCGCGGAGATCCGCCTGCCTCTGCCTCCCAGGAGCTGGGATTAAAGGCTTGCGCCACCAACGCCCGGCGGTGCTGGGGATCTGAACTCAGGTCCTTATGCTTGTGTATTGGGCCCTTTACTGACTGAGCCGTTTTCCCAATCCCATCTATAATGTTCTGATCCTAAAGACAGATAACATTCATGGGCCCCATGCACTGGAGACCCCCAGATGCGAGAGGCTGCTCGCCCTTCCTCAGACCCACAGGCAGTGGCGCCTTCCAGCGGCATTGGGGGCTTGCCAGAACTGGGTTCTGGGAGGGCTTTCTGTTGAAAGCTCTTCAACCCCAGGTTTCTGGGAGGGACAGTGAGTAGGCCCAACTGACAGCATGCAGTAAGCCAGCCTGTGGTGGCCAGGGGTGCTGTGGGATATCGAAGAGAGGTTACTCGTAGCTGATATCTTGCCTTTGTCAGTTACTGCACAGGCAGAGAGAGGCAGTCAAGGAGTGGTGTCAGCTGGAACCTGGCCCGTGGCTTTGCTGGGGTCACGGTGTGCTGCTGGGGCTCGGCCACCTGGCAGGTCCCTTGCAGAGCTCAGCCAGGTGGGAGAGGCAACTTCACTCTTCTGTTAATCCAGGACAGCAGGGTGAGCCGGGGGCAGAGTGACCTGTGAGCCTGGCAAGAGACAAGAGGAAAGCGGGGAGACTGGGGCCATTTTTGATGATGACGACAGGAAGGCACTTGGTACTCTGGGAGGACAAGAGATCTCTCCAGTCCCCTACTTACAGGCATCTCTGCTGGGAGCCAGCAGTGAATGGACAATACAGGAAGCGGGGGGAGGCTGAGTGTGGAAGAGAGACAAATCAACAGGCCCCAGAAGCCTCCACGGTCCAGGCAGACAAACTGATCAGTGAAGTGGAACCCGGGGAAGGGTTGCCAAGCGCCCCCTCCAGGCACTTGGATCTTGTCTGTCTGTAGTGGGTCCCAGGGCTCGGAATCAGATTCATTTGGGAAATGCTGGGACATAGGACCAAGGAGCCATGGGGACGGGGTCAGCAGCACCTGGCCTTCTGACTCAGGACATGGGCCTCCTTCTGCACCCGGGTACCAGTTAGCCGGGCACCTCAAGTTTCTTGGCTGAGTGACAGCACTAGCCCAGAGATGCCCTTTGATGTCCCCAGGAGAAAGAAGCAGGTGGTAGAGCAGGGTTAGCCAAGCAGTAGGCTCTTTCCTACAATGCAGGTTAAGGTGCTGGCTGTATCCAGAGAAAGCTGAAGGCAGGCAGAGCTGCCCTGAAGTCCCAGCCAGGGACTGTTTTGTTTCCAGATGCCTCTTTCCAGCCAAGTTAAAGAATGTGGGTGTGCTGTGTGCCAGGGTGTGGGAGAGAGGCCAAGGGGAGGCTGAGAAGTCCATGCAGGACATGAGGCTGAGCACTCCAAGGGCTGCCCATCCTTCCACAGGGCTGCTAGATGCCTGGATCAAAAGCTTGCTCATCCAGCTGTATACAAGCAGGTGCTCTGAAGCCAGGCTCTGCCTCTACCCCACTGTGTGGGGATCCCAGTATACTAAGGGTGCTTAACAAAACACCCCCAAGATGGCCCAAACACTGGTAGCATTTGTCGCACTTGTGGGTCTGGTCTGACGTGACTAGGTAGTAAGGGCGTGTGGCAGGGCCAGCAAGCAGGAGTTAGGTGTAAGTTTACATGCCTGCTGTACTAGCATCGTACTCTGTCTGGGAGACAACAGCTGGGTCCTGCCCAGCTTATTCATCCATGCTTAAAGAATGTGGATTAAGAAATGTCAGGTAGGGGGCCGGGCGTTGGCGGCGCACGCCTTTAATCCCAGCACTCGGGAGACAGAGGCAGGCAGATCTCTGTGAGTTCGAGACCAGCCTGGTCTACAAGCACTAGTTCCAGAATAGCCTCCAAAGACACAGAGAAGCGCTGTCTCAAATAACAACAACAAAAAGAAAAGAAAAAGAAATGTCATGTAGGAAAATTAAAGATACTAAAGAAAAGACAGACACAAGATAGAGTCCACCTGGTGAGTAGCAGGAAATAACTACCCCAAGTTTATTCTTTTATGCCCCAATCAAAAGAGGGGGAGGCAAAAGACTTCCTTACCAGACAAAAAGAACAAGCAAATGTAATTACTTTCTCAATAACCAAAACATCAAGTAACCATACCCTAAACCAAATATCCTGTTGTCAAGGTAAGACGTCCATTAGTTACTCCTTAGGCCAAATATCCTGTTGTTTAGCCTTGAAAGAGCAATGATGGGTTTGAACTCTCTGACCTTAAGTTAAGATGAAGTGGACATACTAGATTTTCCCAATTTATCTCTATGTCTGACCCTGGGTTTCCCCTCCAGGGGATTCCATTCCTCCTCCTTTGTTTGCTTAGGGTCCCATGTACCTCAGACTGACTTTGATGGAGCTGTGAACTGATCCTCTTGCCTCCTGCCCCCAAATTCTGGGATTACAGGGATGTACCACCACATCCTTTATATGGGATAGAACCCAAGTCCTCCCCTGCTAGGCAATCACTTTACCAGTTCACCCACACCCTAATTATCTTTCTTTTTATTTATTTATTATTTTTTTTTTGGTTTTTCGAGACAGGGTTTCTCTGTGGCTTTGGAGGCTGTCCTGGAACTCGCTTGGTAGTCCAGGCTGGTCTCGAACTCACAGAGATCCGTCTGCCTCTGCCTCCCGAGTGCTGGGATTAAAGGCGTGCGCCACCAACGCTCGGCCCTAATTATTTTTCTTAAGGTGTTAAGGGAAGCCTTTTTCTTTGAGAGAAGCCTTCCCACCAGCCTGGTTCCAGAGCCGCATCAGTCCCAAATAAACACACAGGAGGCTATATTAATTATGAAGCTGTTGGCCTTGCTTGTTTCTTACTGGCTAGCTCTGACTTAAGTAATTACCCCATAATTGTTAATCTAAGTATGTCTCTTACTGGAGAAGTTTCCGGGCTTCCTACCGCATGGCGTTACATCTCGACCCTCTGTTTCTCCTTCCCAGAGTCCTTCTGGACTCCTAGTCCCACCTATCTTGATTCCCTATTGGCCAGCAGTGCTTTATTGACAAATGCACAGGACTTCCCCCCCAACATTAAAGGACCATGAAGGAATGAGCAAACATTTAAAACGATCAGGGACACTCAGGGAAAATGATTTCACTCCTCTGTGTTCCATTGTAGAATTCTGTTAAGCCCGGGCCTCCCTCTTAACCAGGTTAGGTTTTTACAGCTGCTGAACAGAGCCAGCAATTAAAAGCTTTAAGACAACATGAATCCGTTGTCTTAAAGATCCTCGTTTCAGAAGTCCAACCTGGGCCTTATGGCACTGAAGTTAAGGAGTCTGCAAGGCTGGCTTCTCAGGCTCCTTTGCCAGCTTCTGGAGGTGGCTTGAACACCTTGGCCTTGGTCCTTCCTCCCTATTCAAAACCATCAAGAGCCCACAAATTCCCCTCATAAAAAACCCCTGGCCTTCAAAGATAAGGATCCTTGATGTTGGGGACCATTCTGGAACGCTCATTCTCTCTGTCCAGTGTTAAGGACGGGATCTAATAACCGTCCCACTGAGTCACACTTCCAACCAAAAGCTGTCCTATTGTAAGATCTTTCTCTGGCTAACCATTTAAGTTCCACATGCGCTTAGGGGCCCCCTCTCCAGTATGTGGTCACATATCCCCTCAGAGGGGTGCAGACACCTCTGGGAGGTCATTCCTTGCCCTGACACAGCAGAACAGCTGAGATTAAAGGATATAGTCTATGTGCTGTGTGCCCGTCCTTCCCTTGAGCCACGGGAGCAGTTCAGGCTTGGACTCCTCGCCCAGACTTGGACCGCCTTGAGAAGGGCTCTGGACCTCGCTTCCCTCCAGTGAGGGAAGGTGACTGGTCCAAGGTCACATAGAAACTCCAGGAGTGCCTACTCCCCCACCTAGCCCGATGACTCTGGGGAAGGGAGGGCACCCCACCTGGAGCACCCAGTGTGGCCATGTGTGGGGTCACCTGTCTTCCTGGACAGATCCTGCAGCTTCTGAAAGGCAAGCTGGTGGTGGGCCATGACCTGAGGCATGACTTCAACGCATTGAAGGAGGACATGAGCAACTACGCCATCTACGACACATCCACGGACGGGCTGCTGTGGCGTGAGGCCAAGGTCAACCAACACAAGCGTGTGTCCCTGCGCCTGCTGAGTGAGCGCCTGCTTCACAAGAGCATCCAGGTGAGGAGCCTCCCCTCCTCCATTACCCTTCGGTCTCCCTTCTTCCTCCTCCCCCTAAAATGAGGAGTAACCTGCTCTTCTCTTCCCCCTTCCTCTCTTCCTCCAAGCCAGGAGTCCCGCCCCTCCCCCACTTTCTCCCTTAGTCTTCTCTCTCCTTAAAGGTGAGGCTCCTCTTCCCCTTCTAATCTCCCCTCCTCCCAAAGCAGGTTAGTACCACCTTGTTACAATAAAGTGCGTGCGCGCGGGACCTTGGCGGGGGAGGGACAAACACACCATGCAGACAGAGCATAAGTGAGTTTTACTAGAAAAGGGCGTTGGTGGGAGAAAAGAGGCAAAGAGACTCTGAGACAGGACAGAAGAGAAGCGGGGTGGAGGTGGTGGGGTGGGCAGGAAAAGTCCTGTCTGCCCTCCAGAGGATCGGAAAGCGCGGAGGGGAACGGAAGTGGGTAAACTTTTTCTTTTAAACAGCCAGGGAACATACACCTGCCATGTGCAGGTGAGTGCTAGGCGGGGCCAGGTTGCTTGGGTTGCAAACACACCCACCTAAGTTGGCTCCAGGTAAGAGTCTCAAGCAGCCTTCTGGGTCTGGGCCTGATCCTTCAGGGCGGTCCACCGTTACTGCTGGAGCTCTAGCGCTCCCAGGATTCTTCCCTCCACTCTTGAGAGGGAAGGAGGGGCAAAGATCGGCTTCAAACCCATGCACCGGGAGCCTTGTGCCACTGCAGCCCCAGGGGAATGGTGGGAAGCCTGCACCTCCGATGTGCCATAGTGGACCTGAAAGCTGGGGTCCCTGCACACTAGTGCCTGTCATGTATAATCAGTGCTCCAAGATACTACCTCCTCAGTGTGTGGGGGCAGGACTCACTGCTGTCGTTTTACAGAGTGGTGCTCGAGAGAGGAAGATGCCGTTTGACAGAATTCAAGTAGAGGATTTTTTTTTTTAATTAGGGAAAGGGGTCATAAAATGGGGAAAGGGCAGGGGGAAGACCAGCCCTCTGGGTACAGGAGCAGAGAGAGAGAGGACCATTTAAAAAGGGAACATAGTGAACATGCACAGGTGGTGCTCTTAGTGGCTGCTGCTGAGGGGGTGTCCTGTTAGAACCCCAAGGACAGGCCAGTACAGGTTCCTGAATACTGACACCCTCATCCAAGTGAGAAGAACTGTGGGTAGGGGCACATCTTAACACTACACAAGGGCCCTCCTGGTCACAGTTTTGTTTTGTTTTGAGACAAGGTTTCTCTGTGTAGTCCTGGAGCTCACTCTGTAGACCAGGCTGCCTTCAGACTCAGAGATGTGCCTGCCTCGGCCTTGAGAATGCTGAATTAATGGTGTGCACCACCACTACTCAGCTGGAGTTTTTTGTTTTTGTTTTTTTAATTTTTCCATAACATAACATGCTGAGCAAACTCTCTACCATACCCATTGTTCAGAAGTAAAGTGCATCTGAACTTTCAGTAAAGATGTGGTTGGGTAAAGAAATGAAATCCATTTTCAGATATTCAAATGTACCACCTCCTTAAAGAATAAAAATAAGTTCACATTTTGATGCAGGAAAGGGAAGAGGAATTAATGGTGTTTTAAATATTTCTTAATAATTTTTTAATCCACTTAAAAACCATCTAACCCGTGCAGTAGTGGAACATGTCTTTAATCCCAGCACTTGGGAGGCAGAGACAGGCAGATCTCTGTGAATTCAAGGGCAGCCTGGTCTACAGAGCTAGTTCCAGGACAGCCAGGACTGCTACAGAGAATGCTTTCCTAGCATGCATGAAGCCCATGTTCAATCCCCAGCACCACGTAAAGCAAGCATGGCACCTGCCTGCAGTATTAGCATTTGGAAGGTAGAACAGGAAAGCCAGAAGCTTAAGGTCATCCTCAGGTACTTAGTAAGTTAGAGGCTAACTGAAATATAGGAGCAGAGGAGGGCAGTGCCCCGGGGATGGGGAGAGCATCCCAGGCTAGGAGAGCAAATTCCAGGACAGTTTGCAGGGCCACAGTCACAGAAATCCGGAAGGAGAGAAGAGACAGGGTTGGAGAGGGTACGTGAACCAGGGCCTGCAGTGTGCTGTTGACTTGGCTGAGTGAGTGGATAATGAAACCCCATCCCACCCTGCTGGGAATTGTTTTTGGAAGCAGGAGTGGGCCTGAATCTGGCTGGCCTCTGTTAGTCTCCTGACCCATGACAATGGTCTTGGTTTTCTTGTGTACCCTGGAGCACGCTGTGATCCGGTGTGCCTGATGAGTTAGAAACCTGGTATCTGCCCACCTGTCCTTTGCTATCTTCTGTGGCTCTCAGCCCAGGCCTTGTCCTGGGCCTTGAGCCTGGTCTATAGGACCCTTAGGCTCTGTCCCTCAACCGTGGTTATTCCAGGGACTCTGTTCATCCTCTTCACCAGCTCATACCTGCCCAGATGTTCTCAGAACCTGGCCTCTGGCTCCTGCTTGAGGGTAATGACCTTGTTGATCACCTCAATAAGAGCTAACCCAGGGTTGTCACAGTCAGAGGTGCTGATCCTCCTCTCAAGGGCACGGACCTCACATGGAAGGAAAATCCCTGGTGTTCTTAGCCTTTGGGCATGCTGGGAACTGATAATACTTTCATTCCTCGCAAGGCAGGTGAGTCCAGGTTATTTTACAGAAGAGGAAAGAGGCATAAGATTAAAAAAGACTTTCCAGAGGCTGTGAGGTCCTAGGAGGGAACTAGAACCGGACCAAGGCCTGAGCTTTCTACTTCTCCAGACTGACCAGCAGAGGGTGCTCCAGCCACCTGCTGCTTAAGCCTCAGATGGCAAAGCAGTAGAGTTGGGAGATCTGGCCTCAGACCCCTCACATACCCAGGGGAGCGAAACGGCCAGTCTTTGGAGGCATGGAGGACAGTAGCACTTGGGATGTAAGAGACACCACGGCCACCTGCTTATTAATAACACAGAATGGGGTGCTGAATCCTGCCTGAGCTGGGCCTCCCCATATGTGTCTGAAACACACCCAGTCTAGAGAGTAAGAGGAGCCCTTGGAAAGGCAGGCCACCCTAGCAGAGGCACATAAGGGAAACAGACCTGAGCGCCCGCCTGCCATCCACTTGCAGACAAGACTTCGGGCCAGGCGGAGGTGAAAGGTGCTGCAGGGAGCTGGCCTGGCTCTTGGGTACCAGCCGTCATTCCATAGTATTTGTCATGTGGAGCCCGAGTTCCACCTCCAGCGGAACTGGGCATGATCGTATCAGTCTCCAGGAGTTTAGGGAGGTTCCATAGGCCAGGTGATTAGCACAGAGCTAGCAGGTGGCAGTCATTTCTTCCTGGACAGAGTCTAGAGCTCCGTTCGACTCCGTGCTCGCCCCCCTCTTCAAAGAGCTTCTGGTTTATTGGCTCACCCTTGTCTCGTTTCCCGAGTACTGGCAGCCTGGGGTGGGGGGCAGGGATGCAGAGTGCCCACACCAGCATCCTCCCGCCCCACCCCTTCAGGTAGGAAGTGACCAGCATCCTCCCGTCCCACCCCCTCAGGTAAGAAGTGATGGAATGTGCATTTGTTGATGCCCTGTTGCTCTGAGCAGCCTTGCTTTCCTGCCCTTCCCTGGAGTCCCCTGCCTCCCCCTCTTGTGTGCTGCCCTATCTAGCTCCAACCACTTGCTGATGCCCTCTCAAACCTGAGGCCGGGACACTCTTACCTACCGGCCCTCTCCAGTCTTGGGGAGGCCAGGGTGTCTCCAAATGCAGCTCCCTTATCTCCCGCTCTCTCTCTCTGTCTGCAGAACAACTGGCGGGGCCACAGCTCTGTGGAAGATGCCAGGGCCTCAATGGAGCTCTACAAAATCTCTCAGAGACTCAGAGCCAGAGCCCAGCAAGGCCTGTCCCGCCTGGGGGCGTCACACTGAAGGTCATCCTTGTCCAGGGCCTCAATGGAGCTCTACAAAATCTCTCAGAGACTCAGAGCCAGAGCCCAGCAAGGCCTGTCCCGCCTGGGGGCGTCACACTGAAGGTCATCCTTGTCCAGGGCCTCAATGGAGCTCTACAAAATCTCTCAGAGACTCAGAGCCAGAGCCCAGCAAGGCCTGTCCCGCCTGGGGGCGTCACACTGAAGGTCATCCTTATCCAGGGCCCAGAGGCTTCCACTCCTCAAGGACAGTCATTTTCCACAGATGAGACCCATTTCTAGCAACAACAGAAGCAAAAGCAAAGGCAGAACACTCTCCCATGACAGCATTTCTCTCGCTTTTGGAAAAAAAATCTTTAGTAATAAATGACTTTTTTTTTTTTTTTTGTCTAATCAACCACTGGAACTTGCCTCTTGTCTTCCTTGGTGACAGAATGAAGACTGTGCCCAGGAAGTTAGGCAGGTGACTCCTTCACCCTGCTTTCCTCCTTCCCCTTCCCCCCTTTCTCTTTCCCTCCTCCCGCGCTCCCCCCAGATCTGTGTAGGACATTGCAAAGGGAGCACTGGGCATCAGTGAGAGGAGACCTTGCTTTTCCGTTCTTGAGCCGAGGTCCACCTTGCGCTCATGACTGTCCCAGCTTAGCCTCCTGAGTGCTAGCGTTTTAGGTGTGCGGTGCCATAGCTGGCTTAGACACTGGAGACCTCTACTGCTGCCTGCTGTCTGGAGACTGACCCTAGGGTCTTACGTGTGCCAGACAAGGGCTCTACCATTGAGTCATAGCCCCGGCCCTCTTTCTTCCTCACTCACCCCCCAGCCTTTTGCCATTGATTACTGTCATTTTTAATTTTAGACTCTATTATAAAAGTTGCAAGAATAATCACCCGCTAAAATTAATCAGATTCCAAGACTATACAACTCAGTGACCATCTGTACCATCAGAGCAGCCATTTGGAATGAAAGCTGTGGAGTATCACATTAGATTTTTATACCTCCGCAATATATTTCTATTCGCCGTCCACCATCAAAACCAAAATATTCATGACAGAGTTGGAAACGGAAAAACAATTAGCACTTTATTTTTTCCTTCAAGGCATTCTATCGGATCTCCCCTTCTCTTCCCTTTCTGTCACTTTTCTCCCCTCCTGTTTTCCTTTTCTATCCCCCTCCCCTCCCTCCCTCCCTCCCTCCCTCCCTCTCTCCCTCCTTTCCTCCCTCCCTCCCTCCTTCCCTCCCTCCCTCCCTCCTTCCCCCCTCCCTCCTTCCCCCTCCCTCCTTCCCCCTCCCTCCTCCCTCCCTCCTGTCATGGGCATGCATGCCATGGCCCATGAGTGGAAGTCAGAGCACAACCCTTGGGAGTTGGTTCTCTCCTATCACCTGGTCCTGAGGGTCAAGCTCAGGTCATGAAGCTTAGTGACCAGCACCTCTACCTGCTGACTCCTCACTACCCCCAGATCTATTTGGTACATTGCAAAGAGAGCAATGTGCTTTGGAAAGGGTCCTCACAAAGTTGCCCAGGTTGGCCTTGAACCTGCAATCCCCATGCCTCACTCTTGCAACTAGTAGGATTGTAGGCCTATGCCACCGACCATTCTTGGTATCTTGAATCCTGTGCATCCAAGGAAACCACTTTGGAATCTGAGTAACAGGTGTCTTAAGGCCCCTCTGTTCCTGTTGAATTTACACAGAGGGGCATCGTTTCCTAGGTGTCCTGCTTAGGGGTCAACCCACCCCATCTTGAGACTGGTGCTTTGAAGCAGAGGCACAGGAAGGGGAGTGGAGCCATTGCCCTCCCTCTATAAAACGAGAATGTCCAGAGTCTGTGGGAACTAGGTCAGGAAGCCAGCTTTGCCCTTTAGTGGCTGTGTGGCTACCTGACTTTGCCGGGCCACAGTCTCTGTCTGTGAAACAGGAAGTCCTATCGACACATTGTGAATTTACGAGCTGTTACCTCCAGACTGCTCGCTCCATTCCCATCCTCTATGAACAGGCAGAGAGGGTCAGTAACTGTCCTCATTCCTTGGGTTGTTGCCAGAATCTCCATCCCAACTCCCATCTCTCATCCGTCCTTGTGAGTTTTCAGTAAACGAATTTGGATATGAGCCACATGGCACAGTGTAGAAAACAGAATTTATTGCAAAGCAAGCACCATCAAGGGGTAAGGCAGACAATGGCCAAAGAGACCAGTGTCTAGACCTACACACCAGGCAGCCTTCATGTATGTCTGTAACTCCCAGCATTCCTTAGAGACCTTTGTTCTGTTCTATGGTGGTCTATCTCTTTGGACTGGATCTCTCTGACTTCCAGGAGGAAGCTCAGTGGTGTGTCTCAGAATGATATGTTTTTATTCTTTACTAGAAGGCTTCCCTTTTTCATCAACTTTAAGACGCCATAGAACCCATTTCAATTAGTTACTTCAGGCTGTCCAGGGGGGTCACTTTTCTTCCCTCAGCAAGAAAAATGACTCAGGTCCCAGTCTTATGATCATCACTACCCAGCAGTCCCTGTCCTGTTTTCTAGACTGCAGACTATGAGGGAGGGTCCAGCCCTAAGTTCTCCAAGCCTACTAATGTCTAACTACCTAACAGGGGCTTTAACCCAGACCAGCACATTGGGAAGCTGCTGGGGTTGGTCAGTACCTGATGCGTAGTACTGAGTGGGAGCACACTGTATTCAAATCCTGGGGTTCCTCAGAAAGCACCTCCCTGTTTCAAATGGCAGAAGATCAGGGTCCCACACGGAACTTGAAAAACCAGAGACACCTCAACCATACTACAAGAGCCAGGTCCTCATTTAGTGGCTCTGTCATGAGACACCAATAGAGATGAGAATGACAATCTGAGCTTGTCAGAGACCTTCTTATCACACATTCAACTCGCCTCCTGGGCAACTGGACTCTCCTGGGGCTGAGGTGGGGCACCTGCTTTGAGAAGTGCTGCTTGAGCGACAGGTGAGTGCAATATGTAGCCACAGCTGACAGCTGGCCCAGGGAAGGGACGGCTTGGTCACCCACCCAGCCTCTTCTTAGCAGACTGCTCATGCAGAGAGAGGTCTGAGGTCCTACAAGTTGGGTCCTAGGAAACCCTGCTCCACAGATGAGAGGCTCACAGTAAGAGGCCTGAGGATGTAGTTACTTTGTTAAGAGCAACCACGAGGGCCCGGGTTTGATCCCCAGCACAGGCATGGTGCCGCCTGTACACCTGGAATCTCAGCACTGGGGAGGCGGAGGTGGGAAGATCAGAAGTTCAAGGTCATCACTGGCTACACAGCAAATGTGAGACTAGCTTAGCCCGCTTGAGCCCTTGTCTCAATACAACAAAAAACGATACAAAAGGTAAGGTTGGGATCTGAGGGATTTGCGTCTGGTCCTACCTCACCACAAACCTGAGGTGCTTTTACAATGGCAATGCCTGCCATCTGTGCTAATCTGGGAACTTGGGGACTCCCTCTCAGGAGGAGAAAGTGCAGTTCTCATTCTCCGTGTGCTCCCTCATGCCTCACCCCCCCCCGCATGCCCCTTTTCCTTGCCCAAGAGCTTGCTGGCCTGTTTTATATGAACCTCAAAACCCTTGGTTGATTCTACCCTAGCTGACTGCCACTAGCCACTAGGTGGCGGTCATGGAACATCAGCCTGACAGGCTGCTTTGAAGGCACAGAGGTGTGAGACCCTTTCAAAAGCCTGGGTGCTGGTCAGGGGTGGCTAGTCTTAGTCTCAGAAAGGGGCTGAGACATGGCCCAGGCCCAGGGAGGCTCAAGGCTCTCTAACTGCAGCCCACCTTTCTTTCTTGGCTTTCAATTCTTTTGAAAGGCAGGACAAACCTAGATTCTTAACTCTAACTGAACTTCCGGCTTTAGGCTGCATTGCTTGGATGTCCGGGAGCCTAACTGTTACTCAGGGACACAACGCCTATGGGAAGAGCCTGCATCTTGCGAGGCACTGACTCTGTTCCCAGCTGTCCTGGAGGAGGATCCTCAGGTCAAGACCAGGGAAAGAGAAGGATTCAAGGTTATCTACTCTGAGGGTCCAGATGGAAAGCCCCAGGAGCAAGTCCAGCCATGGAGAACTGGGATCACCCTGCTGGAGTGAACAGTAGTTATTTACCCCTGGCAGATCGTGGCTACAAAGGAAGACTGGCCAGTGGGTACAATCTCAGGGCTGCCTCTGGCCTGTAAGGCTCTAGTCTGGCATCTAAGCTGCCTACATCCTGGCTGGCACTGGCCCCCTTTCACCTGGAGCTGTGTATCCTGGGCCTGGCCAGGGAGTGTGTGGGGTTCTGAGGACCTTAAACACGAGGATCCTAGGTTATGTACAACAGGGCTGGACCCTTAAAGCATACACAACTCAGGACCTAGTGACTTGTCCCATCTCTAGGTTTTCTGTCTCATTCTTCTGCTCCAAGTCCTTGACTTTCTAGATTGTGTCTCACGTTTCTTTAATGGTTTTACTCTGACCCCTGGCCAGCCCAACATCCTATACCGCACACCAAGCCCAACCTCTCCACCCTTCTCAGATCTCAGGTATAGTAGGGTTTTTAATAAGTGGGGAGAGTTGGGCTTTTTAGACCTAGCCCAGCCAGGAAAAAGAAGTGTCGTCTGTCTGTCTGTCTATCTATCTATCTATCCGTGGCTACTGGAGGGCTATTTGGCATTGAAGGTGAGTCACCCTTTGCCACCTAATCCTGAAACATAGAGGAAAATTTGGGGAAGTATTAGAAATAACTGTCGAGAAATGGCCCAGCTTGGTTGAGCACACACCTGAGTCACCTCTGACTCAGACTCAGACTGTAGGTCGTCTGCCTCTGGAAAACCTCTGTTTTCTTCACTCCTCCAGCCCAGCAGCTGAGTGAGAAAAACCCACCCACCTCCTCGGTCCATATGAGAGACTGTCAGCATCTTCCTGGGCTCCTGCCCTGAAAAATTCAATGACCTAGGCTTCATAACCCAGCACGTCGGCGCCATCCCGTCTTCTTGGAGGGTACCAGCCAACTCAGCCTGATCCAGCTTCCAGGAGTGGGAACTAGTGCTGCCCAGCTTCCTGCCCAGTGCCCTGTGGGCTGCGCCAGCTTCACGGCCAAGAGACTTACTCACTCTCGGAACAATTTCTCCTCTATATGGAAAGAACATATGCTTTTCCTGCTGTGGATGAG